TACGAAGATTTACACGGGTCCGTGGGAAACTGTAGAAAAATTACGTCAACGTTGTGGTCGTTTCATTACATGCCGATCACCAGAAGGCGCTTGAAGTGTCAATATTGAATTCCAGTTGAGGACCATTGATTTTAATGTAAGTGTTGATATTACGGAACACGAAGTGAGGGTTCGTATTTGATGCTCTCTTATCATTTTCTTTGTACAGTACTAATGAAGTGAATTGCTAATAAATAAGTATTTGTTTAATCGCTAGACGTATTTAATAGCGGCGCTAGACGCAGTAGCGCAATCAGGAATTTTTCATGGGGGGGGGGGGGGTCTGACAAAATAAACTAATATACAAATAATAAAAAATTATAATATATATATCTAGAATATGATATTAATATACTATTATACGTACCAAGGGGGGGTCCAGACCCGGAGTCCACCCCCCTGGTTGCGCCACTGGCTAGACGTTAAAGGTAATGGAAAATCATATGTGGTTTTGAATTGTAAAAATATTACAAATAGGTATTCATAGGTAGTACACACATATTTTTTGAAAATTCACTTAAATGCTTCATTTTTAGGAAAAATTGCAAATTTTTTAAATGCCGACGATGTGAATATTTTTTACTTAAATTTTAATGTATTGTAAATAGCTACACTAATAGGATTTAATTTTTCAATTTTTATGAATATATACATTTTACGTTCCGAGAATAGTACCTACCTATTCGAATTGTTTAAAAAAACTTAAATTGACTTGTGTAACGGAATTTATTTTCCGATTTCTAATGAACTATCCATGAAAATCTAAACATCCTTGAATTCGAAAAATTTATTTTAGATTTATGTATTGACATATATTTCCAGAAATTTGAATATACTATTATTACTAATTTATCATGTAAAATTAAAAACAATTAATTGTATCTCAAAAACTAATGTTTACTATGTCGTGTTCTTATTTTTAATGTTATTTGAAGTACAAAACATTTTTTATACAGTTTTTTTTTTTTTTTGTAATACGTACAATTTGTATGCAGTAAATATAAATAATAAATATATAAATTGACTAATTTGAGAATATCGTCATCAAAAGAGGTATTTGGTGCTTCAGTGTTCCAGTGTCATCTACCTGTGACAACAATAGAAACCAACTATACAATTTATTATTTTTCGATGACATAGAAGTTTGCTTTCTATTAGAATTTTTCATTTTATTATCATTTATGTTTCCAGATAAACAGCCGAATAGGAACACATAATATCATAAAATTAATGATATAACTGGCGATTTGAGTTTACGATATAGAATTGCAATTATTTATTTAAATGCTATGAAAACTGATACAATTGGTATAGTTGATATAGTTGTACTATTTTATATTTTTATAAGATACCGAAGATAATGCTATTATATATTATATCATAATATGTTATATATTTGTTTACGGACATGAAGTAAAATTTCTAATTCACAGCACTGATAAGGATAAAACTTATATTTACTTTGTTCGATAACCATAAAAAAAAAATTCATTAAGCGCGCGTTTACAAAACCACTAAATTAGCTGATGTTTACAAGTGCATAAATCAATGTAATTTACCACGAGTTAATTCACTAATTAACAACTCGATAAATACCTCAGTACAAAGCGTTTAAGCGACCGTACAAACCTTTAATAGACTTTCGAGTTCGATTGAATTGTATTTTAACGATACACGTGCATACTTGCATTATTATAATGGAATCAAAATAATAAATCAGATATCCCATAACCGCACAAAATAATGATTTCATTTAATATCACGTAAAATTACAACTAATTACAATTTGTTTTTTATATTTTGTTTTGACGGGTCATGGAATTTCTAAACAGCCCGCGTGTGTCGCGTGAATCATGCGAATATAATATATAAATTATTTAGTTCCGCCCGAACTGTTGGCGTACGTCTTGTTTATTTATTATTGCTCTCTCCGACAACGAAAACTAGACAGGTACGCTACGTATAATATTACAATAAAATTATCTACTGAACGTAACGCGCACTGCCGATGTAACGCGTTTCGTGTTCATAATGTACCGACTGCCCGTGTCGCTGCTGACCACCGTGCGTACACCGGATCAGGTCCAGACCGATCTACCGGTTGTTGCCACACGAAATATCGCCACTAAAATTGGAATCGAATTCCCCATAAAAAATGGAAACGCAAGAATTCGCTAAAAAAAAAAAAAAAAAAAAAGAAAAGAAATCATATTATTAGAAATACATTTTTTTATTGGTTTGAAAAAGTAAGAAAAAATTATTATTATACCCAGACATGCGTAGTTTTGTAATATTGATTCCGATCGTTGTTTTTGGGTTTATGATTTTAATGCACCACTACTATACTGTATACATTCGTAAACGGTCAGCCAAACGATATTTATTTCACAGTATCTTGAACGTGTACAGTAGTGGAAAAAAAATAGTAATTATTTTGTAAAAATTAATCGTATCAATTGTTGGTGTATAATTGCCGCACGAGTTGGAAAAACGGTACAATTTGGCTGTACAATCGGTCAGGTTAGGCCCGCGGATGTTTTTCAAACGAATGACACCACTTTACGATGGTAAAAGTTCATGAAATCGTTTTGAATACATAATAAAAATTTGAAAACCTCCGAAATGATCGTCTTATCGTCGTCGATATCCGAAACAGACATACAGTACTCGCGGAATACAGTTCGTAGAAGAAAATAACGCTCTATGCCATTAGTCCCGACTGATCGTACCTACATGCTAAATAATGTCTGTATTCTAAACATGCAGATATTTTATGAAATGTTATTTGCCGGAATAATGGCGTTAAAACGACCATAATATTATGTGCGTGCATATCCTGCGCCGGCGGTATTACATCCGCTCTATGAAATATGCAGTGTACATACGTTTTAATAATTTATAACATTTAAATGAATAGGAGAGTGCTTTTTTGACCGTATGTTTTGAAACTATTATAGGAAACAATGAAGGAACAGTGATTCAAACAAACATACTTTTTTCATTAATAAAGTATAATATTAAATATCTATCCATACGTTTTATTTAAAATAATATAATGATAGTTTATAAAACTGTAATTGTACCTACAAGAGCGGCCTATCCTTGGATGTCGATAGAATAATAAATAATGATAATTATAATAGTAATCAAATTTATATTGAATCATATCGTAACATTTTTCTTTTTTTATCCGTAGTAGATGATTTGTGTCGCCAACGGTTGATGAAAATTTAATTCTAATTCCGACGCCTCTCACGCGCCCTTCTGATTTTGGCACCCTGTGCTTCGAACGTATCTAAAGCCGGCCCTGTATATATATAGTACAGTTAAAGTATTGAATCAGATAGTTTATGAAATAACTAGATAATTTATAAAGTAACTAAAACGTGTAGGTGATGTATATAATTTATACTTTAACTAGTTATTTTATACATTCTTTTATCACTTCGTTTATGTGTCAGATAGATTCATACATGTACAATATCGTTATTTTACTGTCCATCATAGCAATAAATTTGATAAAACTGATGTTCTTGTTGTCGGTGACTAAAGTGTTCGTGTACGTTTATCGTGTTAGATAAAATTATCGTTTTACATTTATTATTATTTTGATTGTCGATATAATTGTTAAGTTTTAAAGTTTACTAATATTCTTACAGTCACAAGCGTTCACTGTTCCTACAATATAACTTTGCATGTACAAATAAATAATTAACTAAATTAAAAATAAATAAAATGTTTTAATGCATTTTATACTTTAACATGTTAGTATATCAAACTAAAATTGTATAGAATGACTAGAAATAAGTAAAAAAAAAATAAATAAATATTTAAAGTATAATTTTCATGTATGATTTCAAACATTCGTAGGTAATTCATGAACTACCTAGTTATTTCATAAAAAACAACGGAATTCAATACTTAAATTGTAACATACATAGGTTTGCGTTTGCCCTTTCATCTAATACCAAATAAAATTAATATTTTATCAACTAGATTTTATGTGAGTTTCGTATTTTCGGTAACGTATTTCGACATGTGCGTCTTTTAGATTCGTCATGAACAATGTGCCGGCCGTAAGCTTTTACTAGGCTCTAGGCCAGCGTTTCTTAAACTGTGTTTCACGGAATCCTGGGAGCTTACATTATTTTTTAACATTTTTTAAGAAAATTACTTTAAAATGTCCAACTAAAGATTATTAATGGTGAAAATATATTCGCACTACAGAAAGAAAAAATCTTAGTATATTAAATAACAATGTATAAGCCATATGGAATAGTCTAATTAAAGTAATTATTATTGAAGAATTATTATATACGCATACAATTATTGTTATTTTTATAGTTATTTTAACGTATATTTAAAATTAAGCGCAATATGATTATAATTTATTTACGAATAATCCAGAAAAAATCTAAAAAAAAAAAAAGTAAGGGGTTCCACGAAGAATGTGAACATCGAAAAAGGTTCCACGGATAAAAAAGTTTAAGAAACGCTGTGCTCTGGGCAAAATCAGAACGATTTCCTAAACCGACTGTTCTCACTCGACACTTATCGCGGGCCCCGGGATTCGGTTCAAATGCGAAGCGCTGGGCTCCGATCACGATTCACGATCAGTAGTGTACCGGTGGCGGGGGGGGGGGGGGGGGGGAACGCTTTGACCACGCCAAGAGTGGCCGCGCGACAACGTCACGAAAAATCGATAGCAGCGACCTCGGACGGTGACGACGTGCCGTGTCCGCTGGCCGGTGGAATCCGCAAGCGGACGGAAACGGGAGGAAAAAATCTTAACAAAAAAAAAAAAAAAAACCGTTTCGCCGTTGACGTGTTCGGCGAGACACAAACCGGTAGCGATTGGCGCGAACCGGTGCGCGGCCGTTCTCGCTTTCCACCGCGGCGGGCTGCTTTCGCGCGCGGCCGCCGTCCCAAATCCGCCTGGTGGGAACCGATTAAATACCCGGCGCCGGACCGGACGGACGAACATTCGACCGAACGCGTTCGCCCCGACCGCCGCCGCCGCCCGTGCTGCCAGTGCCCGAACAGTCCGCCGTACGTTTCAGCCGTCGCCGCTACTACCGCCCATCAGCCGTCCCTGTACCGCGGGGTCCAACCGCCGTATCCCGGACGCCGCAGCAGCCCACAGGATCAGGTAATTTTACAAGAGAGTGTTGCGCACCGCGCTGGATCATCCAACATTTTCCGATCCGCCGCCCGGTGGTGAACTCCGTGGCGCGTTTCAAACATTTCGCGTTTCAAGTCAAACCCGTTGGTGTTGGGCAACCGTGGTGTTTCTTCGGCTCGAAACGTAAAACAAAACGTATACAAGTATAAAGTTACGTAAAACAGCGCGCATAACTTATTCATTTGGTGGTAAATTGTTGGCTACCGCCAGGTTGTGCACCTACTGCGCTGGACACAAGCATAACATCCGTCGCAAAACTTGCCGTTTTTAAAAACGGTAAAACGGTTCGCCGTGGTTATAAAACAGCCTTCCCTAGAAGTCTAAAAGTTCATTTTGGTTTAAGGAAGGCTTCGTAAGACAAAAACTTAATGCTGTTGTAAAATATCAAATACTATCCGGCGCGACGTTTACCGCAAACGTTTTTTCTTTTATCACGTATCGTACGCGTTACTGCTAATTTTTTTCAAGCACATTCCACAAACACGCACACGTATACTGTACGACGCTTTTCGGCTTTAATTTTCTACGTTGCCTGATACACATTTTCAGATTATTTAGAATAATTATTATGGTACTGCAGTAATCGCTTTTGAAAACAGATGAGTTTCGTATGAAAAAAAAGAAGAAGATAATTAGAGTTCGTGTTATTGTTGTACATAAAGTTATGCTTAAGGTAAAAATGGTTAAAACGTGTTATATTAATTTATTTCTTATTATTCGTGGTAAAATATAGTTCACGGCCTAACAGGTGTCACGAGCAATTGGTTTTCATAGTTGAACAAAATTATCAGATGAAATTAATGCACAAAAAAAACAAAATTAGTTAGTTTCCGTTATCTATCGTAAATAAATACAATTCACCGGGCAAAGACCCGTCGAATCTTTTGTACTGCTTACCAATTTTCTTATATAGATATTATTCTAGACCAATTGGAACAGAATGGGATGTCATTATAATTAAACGTAGGGTTTGTTTGCGAGTAGTGATTTCTTTATTTCCACCGTTTATGTATTGTCTCTTCATTGCACTCGACGGTTGCTAGTACTGTAACCGAAAAAATGGGACCGTACGCAATAGTTTAAAGTTTGTAAAATTACCATTTTATTACTTTTCGATCGATGTTGTACTGTAATAAACGAACGATAAAGTACTTAAATGTGCGAATATATTTTTAAACATAAATGATTTTCTAAAAAAATAAATAATTTTCAGTTAGTCTTACATATAATAATTTCCATATGCAAATGTTAACTCATACTCATATAATGTGTTCGTATGTTTAATTCTTATGTTAATATTATAATCTCGTTAAAGTTTCAATTAATTTTTATTCCAACAACTTTTAACTACCTATTACCATTTCTCAGAAAAATGTACAAACTTCCAATTATAAATTGTGATTTAATTTTAACACTGCTTAAGTTTAATACTTGAAATAAATTGTTCCTATTTGTTATTAACTATAAACTTGTAACCGTCCCATAACTATGACTATTACTTATAGTATTTCGGACAAAAATAACATTTTTTATGACTTTATATTTTCTGAAATTTGTAACATTTTGCACTGACGAATAGATAAAGTCTAATTCTTAATGGATTAAATATTTTTCCAACTAAATTACACAGACAAGATTTCATATCGTCATAAAATGACCATTTAAAAAAAATTATCAGAAACTATGAAAAATAAGAAAGTGATCTTTTGCTCAGGTCAAAGTAAACTATTTTTTAGCTAAAACTTGAAGTTTCATTCTTTTCATAAACAAAATTAATTCGCTTCAATAATATATTGACTACCAAATGTACAAAACATATTTAAAAACACCAAGAATCGAATAAAAGTTGTATAATAATATTTCACTATTTCGTGAAAATACAAATAATAACGAACAAGTAAACGCAAAAAAATACAATATAAATATGGTACGATTGTTCGGTCCGTGTCAGTGGCATAATAATATGTTGAGTTGTAAATTAATGATTCCTCTAAATATTTTTTATAAAAAAAAAAATACTATACGCCACATAATTAATACTTCTGACACATATAATAAATATATTTACTAACCATAACAAACACGCGGTCTTACTAGAAAAAATATCCAAAAATCGAAAGTCAATTATGTCCAACCAATTTTTCAGTCGTGTAGTAGTTATAGATATCAATAGTGTATTATTATTTCGTTCGAGCGAAGCGTTTGAATAATCGGATAACTAAAAACGACTATATTTCACGCTCAACAATGATATTTTTCCGATTCGGTTATCTTTTAAATGTAATCCGTATAATATGAATCGTAAAATGACAGCCCTATAGTTATATACCGTATATATAGTCATACATATATGTCACACTGTTCGTGTATTTAATTACTCGAGACTATAGTTCATATTTCACTTGACAGTTTTGATCGCAATATTTTGATACCGAGTAAACGTATAAAAATCGCATGATATTACGCCAGAAAGTATATTTTTCGGTCTATTAAAACTTGAACGGCAAAAAACAAACACGATTTATCTATACTACTCTAGTTGGCCACTTACAACCTATACGAGGACATTAATCTTGCTAATAATAACGAAACTCGGTCATTTCGTGTACCTTCGAGATCAAACTTATGGGTCCTACGAACGGCTGTTCGTTTTGACACTTTTATTCGTTTAAAATATTATAGTACCTACACATAAATCATTCAACAAATAGCAAAACCTCTAGGTTTTGGTTAAATGATAAATGAATAAATATATAAATATAAATAATAAACAAATGTTATAAATATATAATTAATAAATGCTTAATCCTGGATATATAAATTTATTTGTAAAATATAAATAGTAAATATGTTTTTTTTATTTTTACATTGACCGGTGTTGGAGATCTTTTTTCTAACCCACTTATTTTCTCCTACGTGCGAGAAATAATTTATAAATTCACTAAACAAAGAATACATCATAGACCCATGTACGTAATTAGTTAAATATGTTCTTTCACTCAGATCCTAGCGATCGTTTCAACCGCTAAACCGCAAATCATTTCACTTTAATCGCCGGTACTTCCAAGAGCGTAACAACAATTACAGTAATAATTATAATCACACATTCCGTATATTATATTATATTATGATACATACAGGTAAAATATTATTACATCCAATCGCCACTGCATTGACAATATTTTCATTAACGTAAAGGTGCTATTTCTTTGGTCGTGTGACCAACGTGCGACCGATCACGAAATTTCTTCAGATTATAAAACTTAGCCGCAAAACATATCGCTGCTCATATTCTTCATATAAAATAAAATATTATTTAAGGTGCAGAATAGGACGTAGATATCATGTCACTTAAACTGTAGAAAAATAAGACACTTATTAAACTTCTTCTTTTAGAAGAAACAGATGACGAAGAATTACTTATCAAATATATGTTTAAAAAAAGTCAAAATTTCCATGATATGTTTCAATCTAAAAAATCTAAAGGTTTTTTTAGTGTTTTAATTGAGAAACATTTGTTCCGTGACCAGAGAAAATTCAGAGAATTGTTGAGACTTTGTTTTGACAAATTTGCATATGTTTTAAATCTAGTCAACTAATCTTCTTCGTAAGAAAAGAGTAATTTTGATGACATGTTGTAGAAATAGAAGTTAATAAGTATAACTAATTATAAAGTAATTAAATAGTTAAGCGTAAGCTCTTACATGAACAAAAATTCACGTTTCATGGTTGAAAAACTAGATAATAATAAAATAAACGAACTTTGCGATTATTTAGTGATAAAGTACATAAATGAAAATAGTACTTCCTTCCCAGTATTTAAGCCAGTGCTAGTTCTTATAGAAGTCTTACTACAAATGCTTATCAACATTTTTGACTTCAAATTCAACTCAAATGATTATCATCATTATCCTAATATATTCAAAATAATAGAAGTATTAGAAATGTTTTAAACAGATGTATAGGAGTATATTAAAATGAGAACATCAGGCACCAATAGACCTCAAAAAATACGTGAAATAAACAAAATTATATAAACAATAAAATATTAGAATGCAACTTAAGACAAATAATACGGTATGATTATGTTAAAAGTTAAACCTTTCGTATTGAGCCACGCAAATTGAATTTATATTATTATTTTTATAATCATAATTATTATCATATTAAATATGTATTATGTTAATTACAATTTAGATAAGATTTTTTACTTAAAATAAAATAAACAAATTTGAATCACACCAACTACGTTGTCAGTCCTAAATTTGAATAAAGCTGGAAAACAATTTGTATTTATTATAATTTTCATTCGTGTAGAAACTAAATACAAGTATATATTTCTTTTTTTTTTTATAGGAACTTATGTAGACTTACCCAAGGGTAATTTTTACCTGCTATAACTTGTGTGGGATTTTATATTCGCTCCTGTATATCGAATGATTTCAAGTTCAATGTTAACACCATGCCCACCGTGACACATGTTACGTTCACGGGAGCAAACCTACATTTATACGCAGTTAAAACGGATTTGACGCGACTGAAACACTCGATCACGCTCGTTAAATAGTATACTATTATATATAATCATCGGATAACTTGGCATTTCGTAGGTGCTCTCGTGCGATCATAGAACGGCACGAATAATAATAATTATTTATTTATTATTATAAAAAAGTCAATAAATAACAAATCCCCTAAGTACTATAATATTTATAAGAAATTAATAAGTATTAAATAAAAATATACACTCATTATTTAAATTGTAAATATATGTTTTTACGTGGCGGTTTAACGAAATTGTTTATTTAATCATACATTATTAGTAAACGACACAACAGACTATAAGTGAAATAATTTTATTTTATCTGAGATAAAGTAAAACAAGGATTTAGTACATCTGCTCGTAAAATTGAAGGAGAGTACTTTAAGGTCGATTTTTTGTAATAATTCAGAACAGTCGATTTATCCATTCAAGATTTTGTACCCAATCAAAAACTTACGATATAGTCTTATGCGATTTTATACGTGGAAGGTTTATTTATAAGGCAATTACATTTATATTTTAGTTAAATAACTCCGTCTTAATCGATTGAAAATCGGTGTCGGTTTATCTGAACAGTCAATGAATTCAAGTCGGTCTACGGCTTGTGTACAATAATGCAGTGGTCGGAAACTGGTGGACCACGGAATGCAGATAACTGGACCGTCAACATATCTTATTTAAATGCATTCGTTGGAATAATTTATTATTAATGAAAAAATGGAATATTTTATTTGTATTAGCATAATAATTTTATTTTGACTCGGATTACAGTTGTCCCGAAACAAAATAATTATTTTCTCCGGCACTCGTTTCTCGGCATTTCTCGGCATTCATTACTTTAATCTTCCGGACTTCAATTGACATTACTTGCCGATCCCTGTTATAATAATGCATTATAATAACGGCAATTGTGTCAGCACGTGTGTGCATTGTGATCACCGTCGTGTGAAACTATACCGTACCTACATTATGCGTGCCGGACGCCTCGTCGCGTCTTCGCAATACTCTTCGTCCTCGTTAACCTGGCGAATCGTAAACAGTATGATCGATTCAGTGGGGGTTTTTAGAATTTTTTCTAGGGGGCGTTTTTTGATATTATTTTATAATACAGTTCACGCTTATAGGTACCACTAAATATTTCAGTCGCACGATTTTGCATCGAAACGGGGTTTTCGGGGAAATGAAATGGAGTACCGAAATGAACAGTTACAGACGAATTTAAAACGTTTGACCTAGACGGTACGAATTACATTTTTTTTTCGTACACCGTTACTGTTTACCCGTAGTAACTACCGCATGATGGACGAACGGCGGTCGAAGCCGTTTGCCGGACACAATAAGATTGTGGCAACCGAAGTTTCCAATACTTATATTATACCGGGTTACGTGATAGCGGCGAATATATTATATTGACGAATAGATTTCCGAGTGGAACGCGACCGGAATGACAACGTTCAACCCGTTATTGTCGTCAGCCCGCGTGCGCGCGTCGATCACATGGAAATAATTACCGACACAATGGAAATGTATATTATTAGAAATCCGTTTGTTGACGCGCACACGCATATTAAACGACTTATTTATTATTATTATTATTAACGTCCGCGATCGGTGAGAGTTTCGTCTTTCGTGTCACGAATCTGCTGATGCGGTCTCCGGTTCGGCCGCGTGTGTGATTGTTACGTTGCGCCGTTTTGTCCACGCGATCGCGCGAAAGAATTTCGTTGGACTCGTTCCACTCACATGAGCTTGGCGGTCCGACACTCGACGGAAACGCCGATCTTCAGAAACCGTAAATCTGTGCACTGAAGGGGTCGCGGTCGATTTCGGTATCGGAACCAATTAGCAAGCCCGTCATCAGAAAATCGTATTACCGCTCTTTACAAAACAACATTACTAATCGGAATCATAATGCGCTGCAATCTTTCGCAGTCACGGCTAGCTGCTATAGTGGATCTAAATACGATAACGGTTAACACGCATAACAGTAATTATTGTCGTCTGTTGTCGATATTTATCTAATTTTGCCGCTTCGATTTCTTTAAATCTCCATACCACCCTAGAGCAACGCACGACTTGCTTGTACCGACGGTTCATGGCCGATGGAATACAAAATTTCGAACGGTAGCGGCTTGAAGGGGGTGTATTTCAATCTCGTGTTTTACAAATTACCAGTTGTACACAACTAATGCAGAACTATTGATCAAGCGCACACTCTTTAGAAACAGTTAACCATTACGGGTATTACGAATCACTTATATAGGACATCGGACTTAAAACTTATTTTACATAGTTAATATTGAACGATAAAAAAGTTTTTGCGGCGAGCGGTGTAAAAATATTACGTGCGGTTCAACGGAGGAAAAGTTCTGATCTTCACTGGGTTTGTGTATTATTTTAGACGGACAAATAAATCCATTTGTCGTACACAAAATGCAGTGCATAATATAGTACACACATACAGTCAATCCAAAAAAACCAATTTATTTTCTCATCGGACCGCGCGATTTTAATTCGAACGACGACGATATACATACGTGCAGTTGACGTGCCCGAGACACAACCTGAAACAATTATAATTGTAATTTTATTTTGTTTAAATAAACAATTCTACGCTGGTAAAACAATCTGATTCGTAAAAAGAAAGGAAAAATAATCTAGAGAAATGTATCAGAACTTGGTGGATAAACGCGCTGCATGAATTTATCTTGCCATATTCAGATGATGTATTCCATACTCCGGAAGTCAGAATCAGTTTTGGATAAAACTGTTTCAAACACACGCATTCCAATTAAAAGTAGTCTAAGACAGGAATAATTTCTTATAACCTCTTTTGAACGGAAAATACATGTATACAGTATAACTAGTTCTATAATTTATAACAATATACGGATCATATATATATAAGGAACTGGTTTGCTATGAACGCAGGTCGCTTAAAAAAAAAAAAAAACCATTTTTATATAATTATTTTTCAGACAGCCAACAAATCAATATAGTTTATTCTATATAAGACCTAGGTATTATACTGTCAACTGATCTTACATTCTCTGATCACATATCATGTATACACAATAAAGCAATGCGCATGTTAGGGTTTATTAGGAGACAATTTTGGGATTTTAATAATATTCAATGTTTAAGAACTTTATATTGTTTACTAGTTCGTTCAAATATTAAGTATGGGTCCATACTATGGAACTCATTGCAATCTGGACACATAAATAATTTAAATAAAATACAATCCCACTTCTTAAGATATTTGTCAAATAAATTTGTGTACTACTGATGAACTAGTGTTAAAATTAGGTTTACATACCTTGTCTTCCAAAAGAAAACTTATTGATATCTCTTTTATTTATAAAATATTACATGATTATATTATTTGTCCTGAAATCTTGGATAAAATAGGTTGGTTGGTTCCTACGTATTATTCAAGATCTTAATTAACTTTTTTTTATAGAATTTATACAATGAAGAAGAAATAAATAATTTATTAATTATTAATCATTATAAATTAAAACTATCTTCAAGTATTATTTTTACCAAAGTATCAATATTATCATTATTCATTATTACTTATAACTAATATTATAATTGTTGTATAAACTCTGTAAACTCAATTCCCTATATAGGCGTAAATACGCTATTATTATTACTTCGATTTTGATCAATCGTTTGTCTTGGTGGATATAAATTGAGATTATTAAACAAACATTCTTAAATCGGTATTCAAGACTTTATGTGTGAAAACAAACATGTTTTCATTATTTTAATTTTTTAATACAATTATAATTTTACTATTCTCTATTCATAATTAATCAAGCTAATGATATAACCACTTATTTTTTAAGTATTGAATCAAACGCATTTTTTTTTTTTTTTAGATTTTTAAATAGTCAACAGAAACAAATTTACAATGAACAAGATATCAATTGTGATTTTGATGGCCGTAGCCGTTTGCTCGTGTTATGGTGTTCCCGGTCAAAGAAACATCAGATCAGCGTCTGAGTTGTCCGCCGAAACAGGCTCAATCACTGATCGTGTCACATCACCCGAAGATCTAGTTGCCGCTGAGTCTACCGACGTGTTCACCGGTAATAAAACTACTGGACTCATTTAATTTAAATTCTGAACGCTTATAATGTGTGCACTCATTACAAGCGCTAATGCATACAAACTTAACCTACTGACTTAACACGTAGATTTTTCGTAACGTTTTAACATTCAAAATTAAACACCTATTGCGTTTTTACGCCCTCCGACGAATGTATGCGTACGCCGAAAGCCGTAAAATGTATCGTCGAATCTCTCTCATGTTTAATAAATGTCGCAGCCGATGATTTTATCACTTGTGCAACACGCACCATTCGTTAAAAAAATAATCTATAATTAAATATTAATTTCACCCGATTTGCATGTATTATTCATACACAATATGTAAATAATATGTGTCATCCGTTCACGTATCAACTAGACAGATACACCTCTATAGTTTTACAACACGTGTACGCGTCATGTATTGGCCGACAATATCTCACGGTTCACACATCACTCGTAATGTTTTTCGTTTACCAATTTGATTTGTCGACATATAACGTAATTCATCACGGTAAATGTGTTGATTTTCAAACCTTCCCACCCATGCATTCTTATTGTTTAAGGTTTTATAAAATGATAAAAGCATTCCTGTAAGTAGGCTAATTATAGTTCTTGGATTTAAAAATGTAACATCATTCAATAATTACACATTTGATTGCGTGCTTACATCTTCGATATATTTCAGATATTATTCGTCCAAACGCCGTATAACCTCTACGGATTTTATAAAGTTTGAACTATTTGTTTTATTACTCGCGTTTTCAGTAGTATCAATATGTATATTTCTTCGTACAGTATAGGAAAACGTATCGGATCAGTATCGCACCACGACGTGAAAGACAAGACGTACTTATTATAATTACTGCTACGACAAATTCCAAATTTGATCACACCTTATTTTTCTCCTGATACATTAAAATAAAACAACCTTATTATTATTATAACTTCTATGGAACTACGTCAAACTTCAAGATCTCCTTCTCTCCTATAATTACATATCTTTCCACGCCCCATCAGGTACACGGAGTGCAGTTCATTATTTTTATTATATTTCACTCAAGCCAAATCCTGCGTAATATTACGTGTAACTATTTTGTTTTGCACGGTTTTCCATATACTTGACGGGTTTGCAGCACACGCGTAATTTATACGGTTGATGTTAATATTTTATTGGATGACCGGCTTTTGCTGCAGCGCATACCACGCGATAGTGACGTACGTACAGGATAAGCATAATAATGTTATGAGTGTTATCCTCCGTGGGTCGTGACCTAAAATACACGCAAAACCGTGAACTTCAATATTACTTATGTATAAGTATACGCGTCAAATAATGTCGAAAACAAGTCGCGAATGAGTCGTATTTGAGAGGCGATGCGTTCTACAAATATTTCTTCGTATAACCTAGGCTTTCAGAAAATCCGATTGTTTTTACAAAAAAAAAAAAAAAAAATTATAATAATAACACATTAATAAATATAACGAAACACAAAATGTTTAATTTGCAAAAATGTAAGATTATATCTTAATATATAATAAGATTGTACAAAGACAAGGATGAGAAGAGGTGAAGGAATAAAAGATTTTTGAGTCGATAAAACGTATACTAGCGAAAATCGATCCTTTCCCTGTTCCTATGGAAAAAATCCTAAATACGTTAGTAAGTTTCGCCGCTGCCGTTGCCACGTAATAATTGGCGTAGTGGAGAGGTTATGGTTGAAATTCGGTACAATTTATTCTATTCGATCGTTTTGTCTCACGAAACATTAAACATTAAAATGTTTCACAGGAGGTCAGTGGTGTTTTAGGGCCCCTGTTGCCCGTTATTTATTAGTATTATTGTACAACGTAACCATCGAGTACATCGTCATTATATTGGTAAAAAATAAAAATTCAATAGCGCGTTGTTAATCAGTATCGATAAGATACCTGATTTTCATCGGAAACTCGAGATCCTAGTTTTACCACTGACCTGGTAAGGATAAGGAGGGATCTTAATGAAATAGATGCTTGGCCTAGTATACTAAACATTATACTGTGTACACTTGATTATCCGCGGTCTTATATACATACAAAAAGAAAACCTTTCCATACATAATTCATATACATAACACTATGGTTAGGTTAGTTGTTGAAAAAATTTTAATTGCAAGTTAAAAAGAAATATTTTCAAACAAAAATGCAAAAACTTGTTAAATGATAGTTAAAAAATATATAATATAAATATAATATGCATTTTTAAACAAAAAGAAAAGGTACTCTTATTTAATATTTCTAAAATATCATGTAAAATTACAATATTTCATTTTTTTTTTCGCAATAGATTTGTTCGATTTTGGTTTCAATTTAAATTTAGAGGATTATCCGCTTATTCATGAACGCCATGTCACCCTGTTCTGCAGATAATCGAGAATACACTTAAGGCTTTGCACTCCGGTGTTCCCGCACTATTTATCATACCCGTAGCGTATTGATTCAACGAAACCGTTTTTTTTCCTCAGCAGCCAGGGCCAAGAAGGGTGGTGGTGGCGGCCATAAGAACAAGTACGAGGCCATGCACATGGGACTGAACTACGTAAAAATGGTGATCAGCACGCTGATGGCGGCCATCGGGCACGTGTTGGCGTTCAAAGGCGTTGGGCTGGCGCTGATCAGCGTGCTTATACAGGTCGCCCAGTTGATCATGACCCTGAAGAAGAGCAAGGACAGCCATCCGCCGTCGTACAAGATCATCGAGACCCCGTGGCACACGACGCCCACCGAGTCGTTCGGCTCGTACGGCGGTCACGGTTCGTACGGTGGTCAAAGCGCGTACGGCGGTCAAGGCGCGCAGTCGTCTTACTCGGCCAGAAGACGCCGATGATGATGATGATGATGATGACGACGGAGTCCACGAACGGATGAATACAGAGGCCATTACAGTTTTTTCGTTTTTTATTTTATTTATTTATTATTATTATTATTATTATTCGAATCGCGTGTATAATATGTAGATTGTCGTTGTCTTCTATAAGGCAATATTTATTTATTTATTTATTTTTATTTATATTTTTATAACGATTTGTATTGAATCCCCCACAAAAATACATAGAATACGTTTTCAAAATCAAATTTTCTGCACCGCAATGAAATTCGTTATCCCCGTCCGAGCTGTACAAAAAATTACAGCTGGTACACATTTTGCATATACTATAAGTATACATAACGCAGAAGGTACTCAAACCGCAACAACGTTGTCATATGATTATTAATACAGACGTAATTAATGCATCTAACACACGCGCACACATAGATCTTTTGAATATCTATACATTTTATGCAAATATCAAAACACGTGATGCATTGCGCGTTACAATTATTATATTGTTCTAAGAACACGAGGTACCTAATAATACACATTACATTATACTCGACCGTGTTTATTGAATAATTCGTTTTCGAGAGAAATGTTATAATTACTATTATACTACCGTCCTATACACCTTGACGACATCCTGCACTCTGAGTGCTGTTTCAAACTCAAACGAACGACAAGTCCCTCGCAAACATACCTACGTACCTGTACCTGTATTACTGTACCATCCCAGATGTGGATACAAAGGGAGTGCCGTGGGAGAAATTCCCCTTCAAATCTCAAAAAAAAATATTATAATAAGTAAAAGCATTAAAAGAATATATTGAATTACCCAAACATTTTTAAAAAAAAATTGTTGTTTATTTATTACCACAAAAATGTTAGTATATTATTTATTTAAGTGCACTACAGGAACTGAAATAAAATGAAAAATAATAGTTATATCACGTAATATTTTATAATATTATAATTTAGGTCTCCTTAAATAAATAATTACTAGGTAAACTTGGTCTCAGTCATCATTATCCTGATGCGAACAAATTTTAAAATAATAAACCCTGATTATCAACATCGATAATTGATTCCCCCCCCCCCAATTGGACATCTTAAATCCGCACTTGTACCATAAAAATGTAATATCATCACTGTGACAGTGGTTTTCGTGATTTTTCACAATACACGATCTAAAAGAAACACACGCGTCCGAACGATCCATAAAAGTTAATTGTACGAATACAGCAGGAATGACACGGCCGTATCGACAATCACTGTTCCTTTACGGGCGCATACATGGATCTTCATTAAAAAAGTAAACACTAATTGACGGCGAATAGATTGTGTACATTGCACTCTGCAGAGGCGGCGAACCGTGTATTCGAGTAGGACAGATTCCCTGCCTCGTGATGTTTTTTATGTTGGCCGGGTGGTATAGTGGTCAAGTCAGTGAGTTACTGTTCATCATAAGCGAACACGGTTAATAGTTATCCAATCAATTGATGTGTTTTATTTATTTAAAAATATTTTTCGTATCGAGCGAATGATAAATATAATCAGGCTTTTAATCCAGTCGTATGATGGAGTGATGCCTTGTAGTCTTATGCTTACGCCCAACTCAGATTTTTTTTTTTCTGATTTCGTCACCACAGCACTGTTCTGACAATAAGCTAATGTGCGCGTAAAATACAAAACGAATGATGGAGCTATGTCGGGATTGGGATCCGTTGGAGCGTTGTTCACATTTACGTAGGCGTACATACGGCCAAGCTCTGAATCCTTCAATGGTCCGAACTTTCAGCACTATTCGTCTTCCGCAGTCGAATAAGGTAGAAATGTTAACCGAATCTCGGCGTTTGGTGGAATAAGTGTTTGCTGTAGTGTTTTGGATGCAGGGGCGGATTGGCAATTATTTTCGGCCCAGGAAATATGAAACAAACCGGCCCATGAACCGCAAATTAAACTATTTTACCCCTCCTCCCTCCCAAAAAAAATTTTGCATAAATTTCAAATTTGTTCAGTTTCACCCCTAAATTAGTAATATTTACAATAACTTTACTATAGTTATAGCTATAATAATTTTGGGTAAATCACATGATTAATCAGTTCCAACTTGAACTTGAATTTTGATCTTAATGCAGCTTTAAATATATATTTATTTTTTTAATGATTTTTATTTATTTTATAAAATAAAAATTTTTTTTTGTAATTATATAATAATATAGAGCGGCCCAAACAAGGACCGATCTATCGGGAAGATTCCCGATTTCCCAATAGGCCAATCCTCCCTTATTTGGATGGCTCTCCTTCGAAAGTCGTTCCTTAGATTGAATTAACCATAGTACATATTACTGGATACTACTACTTACAGAATTTATTGAGTATGTTTTTCTCTCTTATTTTTAAAAAAAAACCCGAGAGGAATTATATCGTTTCACAATTTAAAAATTACATAGATAACTGGTAAATGTATACAATAAATTACTGTATAGATACAACCAGTATAGCAGTAGCGACTCGTGAGGTTCACATTAGGTGATGCACAAATAATTTGTAAAATACTTGAGAAGGCGGGTAAAAATATATTAGTTTTGTTATGTATATAGGTACACATAACGTACTCATCAACATTTAATTTTTTAAAGCTCTGTAGCTCTTCAACACGGTAAAATAATCTTGTTTCCACGATCAACGCGATTCACGTAACGACGAACACGAAAATCTGCAAAAATGTTTTTCATTAATAAATATTTTTGTTAATAACAGACTATTTGCATAATAACTCATTATAATTTACTATAAGAAATTAATAATTTTTTTAAATATTTTTTTTTTTTTTATAGTTCATGTGCTCTTGTACACCATAATACGATAACCACCACTGTGACCTAAGTATCTGAAATAATACTAATTTTTTATCTGTAAATTTTGATTGATTAAAATCAGACTACGAGATACATAAGTACAGTCTATAAGATGCTAACCTAAACAGGTTGTATAAAAATCAAAATCCGTGTAATACATTTATTTTATTTTTTTATAATTTACTTCTATAGAAAAAAAATTTTTAATAATATTGATAAAATATAATATTATTAGAATATAATAACATTTACAGAATATGAAATACCATTAAAACATAGTATTTTATTCAACATTTTTAAATTAATAATTTTCAAAACAACAAATATACAGAAAACAAGGAGATTTCAAATCAAAATATTAATATTAATAATATTGCCATTGCCATAAATGGATAAAATATAAATTTCTACTCTGATATTAATATAGCCATTTTTTAACCTAAGAGCTTAGAATTCGTTGATTTATGCAGGATAAAATATGTAAATAATAAAAGTGTTATTAGATATCATCTCAAAATTTAAAAGACAAAAAGAAATATAATGTATATTTTTAACAGTTCCCGTTATTTTCACAACTGTTATAATCTAATAAATTTGAATAATATGAATAGATCTTTTGTTATTGTAGATAGAAAGTAAGCAATTACACATCAATCGTCAGGTTATTCATACAGAGCAGCTGTGTGGTACCAATATAAAATCTATATAATATTTTATACAATGAAGTATATCAACAACTGTAACATGCAGTTGTTGACAGTCGTATTGTTTAAATATTTCTATCAATTAATAGGTAGGTATACAGTTAAGAAGAAAAAATCCGTTGTTAATATTTATACTATTTTCTGTTGAATCATTCGAACAATTTTACCGTTGATGAACTATACATAGCGCTTACGATTCGCATTTTCAAATTGATCTATTTTTCAAATCTCACTCGCTTTTATTATTCGTTTTCTATTCATCATTCCAACGTGCAAAACTTTGAATAGAATGAGTCTAGAAATGTAATCATCTCAAGTCATATATGAATTACTGACACTGATGTCAGAAATATCCCCATCAGGTAGGTGGTAAAAAACAAACATGTACCTAGTATACATTAACATACTTTTTAAAGTAGGTACCTAGCTAGCTGACAAACTAAATTCCAAGTATATGAAATATTATAATTATTGTAGTAGGTATTGAATGTAATATGATTATAATTTATAGAATACGCACTACAGTATTACATTTCTTCTCCAATTAAAAGATTTATAATTATATTGGAAGATGGGTGAGTATATCTAAATATTATTTCCAACCAAAGGCGTCTGGATGGTATATGAATTATTAACAAAAAAATTTAATTTCTTAGAAAGCTTCGTTATTTCCATAATTTATGACGTATGATTCATAATTAAATAATTCTTAATATACTTTTCCTTTTTTTTCTTATGTTATTTAGTATTCAAAAATAGGTAACATATTATTTGAAATTATGTATTACGAAATCTAGGTCTTTAAGCAAATAAAAAGAAAATAAATAAAACCACCTTTTATTAAAAAAAAAATTGATTTACAACCAATATTTAAAAACAATACAATAAGTAAATTTGATAATAATAAGAGTTTTATACATCTAGTTTACAATGTGAGAGAAAATATCTACTAATGTAACTCTACAGAAATGTAATTACCTCATGGATAATATATTAATAATTCTAACAATTCTAAATTGATTTAAAAAAACAAGATTGATGTTTCAATTTATAATTATGAAAGGACATATTGGTTTATAAGCAGACACTTGAGAGAATTTAGAGGGCTTAGTCCACTTAAAATTTATTGGATCACTTAACTTTTGATTAATCTTATTCTAGCACCCCTAAAAATTCAACCAAATTTTCGCTTACATATTGAATTAAGATTTAATGATATAAAATAATATACCTAGAAAAAATTATTTTTTGTACAATAACTACATGTAATGACTTTAATATATAATTTTAATATTAATCGTAATTAGAATATTAATTATTTTACTTTTATAATTTTATTGAATTGTATAGCAGTAATTATAAGTAATATACTAAAAAGTTTTTACTATTTATTAATCAATTAGCATTTACTAAGTAAATGAATATATATTTTATATTTTTAATTACATTATTGAACATAATTTACTGATGTGACAGTATAATTAATTGAGTAAAAATATAATTATAATTAGAGCGCGGATTTGTATGCACTTAAAAGTATCGAAATATGCCATATAATATGCAGTAAAAATCATGAAAATATGCAAAAAATATGCAGTCAAAATCATGAAAATATGTAAAAAATATGCAGTCAAAATTATGAAAATATGCAAAAAATATGCAAGAATTTTTTATTTATTTAAAATTTATAATTCAACTTATAAAAATTAATTACTTAAATACTTAATACAAAAAAAATTAGGGAATTTTCTGAACTTAATTTATTTTTAAAATTTTATTTATTATTAAAATAAATAATCATATGCATTTCAAGTTTATCTTCTGTGAAGCTGTGTCGTTTATCGGTTAACATATTTTTAAAGACTGAAAACGTATCCTCGATGTCAACCGAAGTTATTGGGGCATATTTGAAGCAAGTGGTATGTCGATAATCGACTGACACAGCAAGAGCGATTAAGTTTACGTCGTAATCGATTATTTATTTTATAACTAAATATATATATATATATATATATAAATTATTATTTAGTGACTATGAAATTTATTTTTAATTTTTCTACTTGACAAAATATTATTTTATACATTTTTTTTTAAATTTTCACTTCAATATGCGATAAATTTTGAATTTTGCCAAAATATGCAAAAATATGCAATAACCTCTAAATATGCAGAAATATGAAAAAAAAAATTTCACCATTAGCTTCAAATTATGATGATTCGTAGAGATAACTGACAAAAATCCAAAAATATTGAAAGGAAAAAAAATATGTGATTGCATAGAAATCCGCGCTCTAATTATAATTAATAATTTTAATTTATACACCAGAATAATAAAAACATAAAACTACAACAGCATCCAAAATAACAATTAATGTTGAAAAAACAATTAATTATTATACCTACTTAACTATAAAAATTAAATATGGTCAAATTATTCCCAAATCTTCCAAATCCCAAAGAAACTCTGTTAATTTACTTCTTTAACTAATATATTTAAATATTTTCTACATTTTATCTGTAAACTTAAAGATTATTAATTTATAAGTTATAATTTATCATTTTTGAGTTAATTCTATTTCTGCAGGAATCATTAATAATATAATAAGGTATAACAGATTTTCATTTTATTCAAAGTGTGACTAAAAAACAGATTTTATCATAATATATGGTAGTTAAACCATAAAATAGATTAAATATAAACTAATATTATTAGATTATATTAACAAATCCAACTGTTGTAATTATGTAAAATTTGTACAGTTACTATTTTTTTTTATTAAATAGGTCAACAATGCATATGAGCTGAGACTTCAAATTGTATAACTATATTAGATATATATTTGTATTAGCAAAAAATAAATTAAGAATATGGTTAATGATAAAAATCTGTGGGCATAATATTTTATGAATGTAAAATATAGTAGTTGATAAAAAATGAGTTATGGACTTACATAAAAGTACGCCCTTACCATTACCATTACACGGGAGTCTACAAAAAGGATTACAATAACTCTTACTATAATCATCACATATAGACACCAATAGAATAGTTGCAATGATTAAATAATTATGAGCATTAGCTAAATATTACACAAATATAAATTAGTTACATATACAATAGGTAATCAATCTAGAAGCGCATGTATTTTAGTGGACTAGAATATTAAATGTGAAATGTCTTTAATATATTAAGGTCGAATATGTAACTCGAACCATGTTCAGGACAAGTGTATTAATCTCTTTAGAGGACCACAGTCTCATACAGAAAAACGGAGTATATAAGATAGTCTAGAACAAACTAATAGTCAGATATGTTTTAGTCCGATCGTAACAAGTACCTTTATACTAATTTACTTAATAAATTAAACGTATTCAATTGGACTTAAAACTATTTCACAAGTAATGCTTTAACTTAGAATATTATTATACATATATATACAATTATTAAATGTAAAGTTAAGTTATTATTTAAAGCATTCTCCACGCTATACAACACCACGACAGTTGAACTGACGACACGCAATAAATACATGGTTAGTGCTTGTTCATGGTTACAAGCAAAATCAATAAGAGTAAGATTAAAGTATGATTTACCTTTGTTTTAATATACTTTTTGTAATAAACTTGTGCATTGTGTATCTTTATATACATACGTATTTGAGAGATTAACTATAAAAAATTATACTATATATACAACATAAAACAAACAATAAATAGCTTTAATGTAATATTTACTAATTAACATTATTATTCGTGATGTTGTTGAATTTTTTTTTCTAACATTCTAAAATGTATGGGCAGATGACAATTATGGGTCGAAAAAAAATTATTTACTATAAATAAATAAAATAACTAGGCACAACTATTGATCAAAACAGACATACTGCATTCTCTGCAGTACTTCAAAATATGACAATGTGACACATCGATCATATTGTAATGAAACGTAAACATATGATAAAAAAAACAACATCAAAATCCTACACTTTACCAACCAGGATTTTTTATTCTATAGTGTGTACAATTTCATCAGATCCATAACAGTACAATTCCAATGTAATAACAAAAATATTCACAGACACTATTCACCACAAATCACAATATCGTGTTCTTCACGTAAGACCTGATATTTTACAAACGTAAAGATAGCAGAGAAAGTCCATGGATTAACCCACAAACAGTTTTACATACTTATGAATTTAACTAATAATATTAGAACTTACAAAGTTTTTTTTGATTTTCAAGTATAAAATGATACTCTCGTTAATAGAATACCGTTTATATCGGTAGTGCAGATCAGACGAAAATTGATAACGAACAAAATATATCAAACCAAACGTTACTATTAAACCTAACCTACAAAACTTCAACTCCAACGGAAATGATTTTTTTCAGTTAATAAATTTTAAACATAACATCGACCGATTGGATCATCAAATCGACAAAATGTAAAATTTATTCTTCTGGGTTTGCGAAAAGTGTTGCGTTTCATTTCTTTTTTACACGTTTGCGGATTATTTTCAGTTTACTAGAGCGAACGGTCATCGTCCTGCCGTATTGATATTATTGTTTGTGTTGGCGGGTATGTCAATACTTGTCAATGCTTAAAAATACAAATACTATTTTGTGTTGTCCAAGTGATTACCAATCGAATAAAAAATGGCAAACGAAGAAATCGAAGTAACATCGGTATGTTTGTAATTTACTTTTGTTTGTTAAAATAATGATACCTTAATTGTTTAAAATTGTTCAGGGTTTGTTTGATGACAATGTACATCACGAAAATGGTAACGATGATGATAGATATAACAATTTATCAAAGGACGAAATAAGTAATAAGTTGAGATTATTCCGGAATTTATGTTTGGAAAATGTAAGCATTATGATCTGTTATTACAATAATCACATATAAACAATTTATTATCCAATAACTTTTAATCTCAAGTAAATCAACATATTTGTTACTCCAAATTGATTGAATTTATACCTTTAATCCTTAAAACAAAAATAATACAAACATGATTTAAATAGTATTTTGTAATAAATTTATTTAGAGTAAGATCTTAAAATAATTTTTTACTTGGAAATTCACTGTATTAATAATGGTACATTATATAATAATATAAACTATATTTTATAATTTCCTTAATGCATATTGTTTATGGTTGAACTTGCCTGTTGAAAAAATATCAGTCTTCATTTCAAATTTTTTTTTTTATAGTGTTAGTGTAGGCTTAAAATAATGTTAAAGTGTTTAAATATTATGTTGTGATAATGCATTACATTTTTTTTTTTTTAGAAAATAAATACAAACAATGCATTTGACATTGATATGATTGGATATTTCCAATCCTGGTTGGAGAAACAAAAATTATCTAAAGATACTAATGTTAAAACAGTAAAAAACAATTTATTTTATTTTATTTTTTAAACAAAATTTTTTTTACTAATTTAAATTATTTTTATATCAGTTCCAAGAAATTGCTGATTATCTTGAAGCCAGTGCAAAAGTTTATGGTTTTCGTGTTGATCATTTGAGTGAAAATACTAATAGGCTAGTTGAAGGATTTAAGTCCTTAAAAATGAGCAAATTGAAAGAAAATGTTGAAGAACAAAATGAAGATGAATTACTCCGAAATCCAAAATCAAAAGTAAAAATCCATCAAGATTGTTTTAAATATAAATAAGTATAATATTATTTTACTATTTGGATTACAGGCACTAAGATTAATGTTAACGACAGCTGATAAATTAAGTGGAAGATTATCTAATATGGACTGTATTGTTAATCCAGCTATAAAGTACAACTTTTTTAACTTTAGTTTTAAAAAATTATTTGAATTTGGCCGGCCAGTAAATCATATTTCATCTTTATTCAACGATACTACTATTAATGATGAACTGAATATTAATGATATAAAAAAAGAAGATGACGAAGAAATTATTACTTTTCAAATACGTAAGGATTATTATTTATAAAAATTAAAATAAAGGAAAAAAATTATATTCTTCTGTATTTCTGTATCATACTTTTCTTCCATTCCTTTTATTTTTTTTATGCAAAATAGTTTATATTTATTTTTTTATTTCAATTTATATGGTTTAACAAATTGTAAACATAGTGAAATATGGTTGGGGGTGACCAGTTAAATATGTGATATTCAGTGTAGGTTTTCTGGTTCTTTTGAATATATTTAACTGTAGCTTGGGAGCATTAAGTTAAGGATCATAATATTACAAATAAATGTAGATTGATTTAGGTGTTATTTAAGCTTGATACAAAAATATAGCTTACTGGCTATGGTTGTCTAGAGTATAATACTGAGTTTGGTTACATTGGATGGTATTTGTAGCCGAACTTCCGTTTTTAACATAATTGGCATTAGCTGTTACACTTACAATAGTGATATATAATATATATCCTAGTTGGAACGTAGTGTCTACTCAAAAAATATACATATTATGTGTGAAGGCTAATAAATGATGTAACAATTGTTAGAGTAGAATTAAAATGAATTTAGTTTATTGCATTTGGCTCATTTGTTATCCAAAGTTTTATTATACAATTACTATAACTTGATCAAATTAATTTAATTTAATATTTAAGTTAATTTAAATTACCAAAATTACTAAAAAGAAAATAAAATAGTCCCAGAAATACATCTGACTCTATAAATGTAATTTATAATTATTAATTTTAGTTGTCTTACCTTCATAATTTATAACATGTCAATTATGAGTAACGTAAATAAATATACATTACCTACATAATATTAAAGTACACTCACTTCAGTATTATACATAATGCTTGCAATACAGCATAAATCCTCAAGATCCTAACTTAATGAAATATATTTGTTTTATTACTCGCCACAAAAATATTTATAGTTTTATACAGTAATATGTAAATTAATTAACAAATGTGAAGTTTTTTGATCTTGTTAGATTTGTGTTAATAAATAACTAATAGACAGTGTTTTTTGACTATTTACTAAATTATTAATTTAAAATAATACAAGATGATCATAATATGTAAATTGTTCATAATTAAAAATATGATGTAATAATTTGAATTTATTTTATTTATAGCTTATATCTCAGATAAATTTTGGTCTGAAGCCGTTTTGTGTCCAAAGTTCTCTAATTTTTTAGCTGATAAAGATCAACTTTTGGAAGCTAATAATCCAGAGAACATAGAAAACTTGATAGATCACTTTGATCCTAGTAATCTATCCTTTCCAACTTCTATAAGTCATGAAGTAGTTAATGATTCAGAAGATGTTAAATTCAGTAAATATTCTTATAATTTATTAATACTTCCCATATTTTATGAATATACTTTAAATAATACAATAAATATTTAAAAATTGTTTTATATATAACATACCTATTATATTTCAGGTTCTTTTTCAATTAAAAAAGAAGATGGTATTGGAGGTCTTTTAACATGTGTTGACTATGTAAGGCGGGATTATAGTTTTTTTAATCCAAATCTTCTTGTCCAATGGAACGGTCCAAGGGCATGGAAAACTCAAGCAATGGCGAAAGCTTTAAAATCTAAAAGTAATAAGAAATATTAGTAGTATTTATACTCTATTCCATGCAGGAGCAAACATTTGTACGGTCAGGTATTTTTTTTCTTGTCCAGATATATTATTGTTAGCAGTAATAACATTAATTATCTTGACTATCCTCAATTTTCAGGCCTAACAACAGTATAAAAGATATAATTTATTCTTAATATAAAAATCAAATGCCATGGCTTTCATAAAGTAGTGTCATTATCTGAAAAAATGCCACAACATTAGATCCTATGAATCACTTCCAATTTATTACTCTTTAATGGAATAGAGTTCATATTGTTATTTTAACTTTTTTTCTATAAATATTAATTTTTAAAATATAATTGATATGTAATTTTAATTATAGAAATAGCTCAAACATTGATGCTTGATCCAAATCTTGGTAGTAATTCTGACACTGATGATGACAATATGCTACAAAAACATAAACCAAATAAATTGCGCAATAAAGATGGTGAAAAACAAATTAAAATAGAATGGTTATCAAAGAAACAATTAAAATTAAGGCTTCAAAATATGTTTAAATCTAAAGAAATTATGTCACCTCGTACAATTCTAAATTGGAATCCTTTCACCAGTTTATCTGAACCCAAATCAGTATCTGCTGAAAAGATATATAAGTAAGTATATTGAAATAATATGAAGACGTTACATCCGCATGTGCTGTCTCTGTCTGACAAGCGTACAATATAGCAAATTTGCATTCAGTAGTTCAAATGTAGTGATGTTAGCTTAATATTAAAGTAAACCGGCATATAGTCAAACTACATAAGAAGAACATAATCTATATTTTTTTGGTCGGTTTTTCCAATATTTATATTTTTAAACGAATTATGAGTGTGTAAAATATTACAATTAAAAAAAAAACTAAACTCGCGTCAAAATTAAAATATTGTAAAAAAAAACTGACCAAAAAAACACAAATAATGTTCTTCCTTAAAGTATTATTAAAGATCAGTTTACTTTAATGTTAAAGATAACATCACATTTAAACTACATTGAAACTATTGAATGACAATTTGGTAAAAAAATAATAAAAATGTTTATATGTTAAACTAAAATAATATGAGTATATACGAGTAAGATAGGCTCTACATATAAGAAATTAAAATTTGTTTTAAATTTCTAAATGTTAGAAAAGAATCAAGATAATTGAATAACAATTATCAAATTTTTAAAGATTAGTCCATTTTTTTTTAATATAATTTGAACTTTTATATGCTAAATTAAACTATATTCAATATTCTATGTCACTACAAAAATAAATATAATTAATATAAATATTATATAAGTGAATACCATTGATGTTATTTAAATGCTGTCATAATAGTGATTAATCATTAATGTATACAAATTATAATTCGTAAATTAAATATTTTTCTTTAGATTTTTATCATTTTTATTTTTGTGATAGAAATCTATAATTTAAGATTTTTGATTTTTTATTGTTTCATGTCTTATTGTAATTAAAAAAAAAAAAAAAAATAGTAGAATCTTAATTAAAAGTATTAATCTCATTTATATACAAAAATATTGAGTATTCATAAAAAAAACGTACATTACATTATTAATATTTACTGTTTAAATTTTAGGTTTACTTTCTTGGAGTATCTGGAAATCGTACCAGAATGGTTGGATGTTTCTAAAAAAGAAGAAAACTTAAACAAAGAAATAAATTCACCTCTGCCTACGCAAAACCATGTGGTAAAAATACAATATGATTATCAAATATTTCTATTGATTATAACTAGAGCCCTGATTTATATGCATTTAAAAAGTGTTAAATATGAAGCAAATATGCAATTACATGCATAATGTTACACTTTATAAAATGTGTTTTTTTTTAAAAAAAAAACTACATTTTTATACCAAACTAGCTGAACCCGTGCACTTTGTAGCCCATATATAGAATTCGCCCGTGCGCAGTTATTGCTTTCTCTAAATGCAATTCTTAAATCAGATGTTTATTATTTACCTTCTTTCTTTTTTCGATCCCTTAACAACAAACGAATATAATACTATAAAATTGAATAAAAATCAATCTCATTTAATCTCAATCCAATAAATATTACCATAGACGCGCGTGCCACGGAAACAAATAATAAAAAATAACCACATAGTATATATATCTCCATGGCAAAACAATAATTTTTGAATATTGTGCGTGCGTGCGTGATTAATATTGTACACTTAAGAGGCCATAACTCCGGAACCACATATCGCACAGCGTACAAACTTCACAGAAACCATCTAAATATCAATCTTAATATGCCCTAACATTTTTATCGAAATCGGTTCAGTGGATCTTGAGCTATAAAATTTATTCAAAATGTACATCGATTTTTATATATATAGAAGAATAAAATTATAAATATGTTCTCAAAAACGAAAAAAATGATAATATCCACTGCCCTATATTAAAAATCATTTAAGTCAATCTAAAACTTATAGGAAACTTAAAAACGAGAATACAAATAAAAAAAAAAAGTTAAAAAAAATACAAATCTTTTAAAGTAATATTTTTGAAACTCAATACCTATCATGTCTGTTTTTGCTCTATTCGAAGTAATTACAAAATTTACTGTAAATTAAAATAGTTAATTTATTAAAAACCCATTAAATAAGCATCGTTTTTTGAACAAATATACAATAACCCTCAAAATATGCAAAATAGGCAATATAAAATTTTGTGTTTAAATTCTATATGATATAAATCATGGACATTTTAAACCTCCATTTACGTGCATACACTTAGTACAAATATGCAAATGCATATAAATTCAGACTCTAATTATAACATAATTTCTAAGACAGTTTTTCCAGTCTAATTTTCCCAATTATATTATTTTCAATTAATACAATTTGTATTTCATCATTCAAGAATAATATTTAATCTAAATATTTAATAATTCTATAAATCTTTATTTTTTATTTTATGCATATACATAATTGATAATGAAATATAATACTCATAAAATTGTTAATAATCATCAAATAAATTATTTGATGTGGTCGTGATAAACTCTTATACCTAGTCTTTTAATTATTACTAATATACTTTATTGATAACCAAAATCATACAATTAAATAAAAGTGTAATATATGTTTATCGGCATTATAAACATTGAGAAAATAAAGCTTGATTGTATTGTAATTGCCATAAGAAAGATAAAGTGCTAACTTGAGTAATTTTGTTCAAAATATATAATAATAATTCAAAAATCTAAAAACCTAAGCACAACCATACACCAATCCAAGTAGAAAATAATGCCTTAAAAATCATTGTTAATATAAAATGTATATATTGTATTCATTTTTATTTATAGTAGAAACCATTTATAATGACACCTGTTGTAATGATTTATCATGTATAATGGCCCTAGATTGAAGATCATGATAAACCTTTTATATTGTATATACTAATGCATATAATTTCTATTCATATAACATATATATTATTTCTATTTACCATAAAAACTATTTTGATGAAGTTTTAGGAATTTCGAAGTTTTACTGGTCGCTCAATGCATCTTAAAAATATTAGGCATTCAGTGATTTTGAAATATATTTTTGTTTGGGTTAGGACAATGTTTTTCAACAACTTGCAATAAAAACTGTTTTTGCTCCTCTTGGTTGGTCAGAACTTAATTCAAAGATTAAAAGATGAAATTAAAGACACTCCTTGCTCAGCTATGTCATTCACAACTTTTAAAGATTTCACTGTTTTCTTTTCACTTAAAAATTCTTTATTAGGTTCCCATGTGTTTGGATCGGTCCGTAAAAAGTTTGTTTCAATATTCAATGTTTCAAATAAATGTATGGTTTGATTTGTCACTAAGTCTGATAACTTCTTCTCTGCCTGTTTCTGTGGCATATACAAGAGGGGACGTGGAGTCAGATCCCCCCCATTATATTTTTATTATTTAATTATTTTTTGTTTTTCCTATACTATATACTATACGTATATTATGTAGTGTGCACTATAATAAAATATTTTGCGATATTATGAATCTATCGAGCTATTGAATTTTAACAATTTTGTTAATACTGAAAAACATTATAATTTTATTTTCGTTTATTTATAGCAAAGTAATGTTTATTTGGTGTTTTGGTCAAAATGGTCAATGACGACTATGATTATACTTTATTATAGCTTATCTTATTATTTATAGAGACAATACTATGTATATAACAGTATGTATGTAAGCTCGACTTAATGGGATAATGAGCTTCCACTGAGTGTCCGTATTTAAAGTATTATCGGATACTATCGTTGTTATGAGAAATGAGAATGAGATCATTGTTGCTACGGATTTAGTTAACCACGTATACATAGTACATACTATTTATTTATCTGAAATCTAAAAAAAAAAAATTCACGGGATTATTGATAATTTATTGCACCTACCATGGATTCGTGGAGATACATAGTTTATAATTATACTTATATTTACAAAAGCAGCAGTGCCGTTGACGTCAATGCAATTAATCCAGTTTTGGTCAAATTTACGTTATTACTTATTGCATTCGGTGTGCCCTGAGTACAAATAATACGTAAAATTGAAAATTATTTAATTTATAACTTCCACTGTATGATTATAACTAGGCTTAGGGACTTAAAGCATTTGCATACTTTTTTTAATTATAATTAAATATAGCAGAGTGCGGAATAAATTAATTTCTTAGGGCTATGATATCAGATCTAAAATTTGAATGTGCATATTTTAAAATTTTTATGCTTATTTTGACAAATTTTTCAAATTTAAAATTAAAAACTATAAATACATACAACTATATATACATATTTCAACCGATCGAAAAAAAAAATGTACTAAGAGGACTTTATGCTTCCAATAATATGCTATCTGCAAATTACCTCTCATATCTCGTTATCATTTTTGTGTAAATATGAATAATAATATAAACCCATATCGATCCGATGTCAATAAAAATAATAGTCGATATAGAATAATAGATTATTTGTTTAGTGTTCAGTTCAGTCAATTATTATCCGACGTTGTTTTTGCGTCTCGCAACCACGTAACGTCGAATCATACGTAAAACGGTCGTACGCGTATATTTTATAACATTGTATAATGCCAATAGTACAACAGTCTACGAGTAGCCGACTACAAAGTTTTGTTTCGGAATTTAAAAATATATTTAATCCGATGAACACGTTCTATATTGTGTACTATGTGGTTATTTTTTTATTTTTTAATGCATATAAATGCATATTATAATGCATATTTTAATGATTTTAGAAGCATATTTGCATGCATATTTGTGTATTTTTTAGAGCCATAATTCCCTAAGCATAATTATAACCAAGATCTACAATATATTCAAACCTACTTGCATCTGACTACACTCGACAATAAATAAAAATAATAAAGTTATTAAACAATAAAGTTGGTAACCATAACATTATTATAACCAAGATTCGTCTTAAAAAGTTCAAAAATATTCATTTATATGTCTTAAATATCTAAAATTATGCACTTAAAAAATTCTTACTTCAAAAATCATAAATAATTTTTGAAATAACATGAATTATCTATTCATTTTTTTATAGCTATATATTATTTGTTTATGTCACAATAAAAAAAAAATGGATTTTAAGTACTATTTAATGCCTAGCTCCACATTGTCGTGTAATCGACAACTCGTGACTCACTTAGTTGTTTCTAGTGGTTGTACAAAATGGACGTGGTTGAAATAACAGCTGCGGCTGCATTGAATGCATAAAGTTATTATAATTTTCTACATTTAAGCCACTGAAAAAAAATTAAACAACCCAATAAGAGCTTTTTTCCTTCTCAAATGGCCCCGAAATGTAGCCATAATTAAATTTTTTTTGTTTTTCAAATCTTCTATGGATATATTAAAAATCTTACTAAATCTGCACCATGCGTCATTCATTTTTGCTTTATTTTTGTGGTTACGATGTTTTGGATTCCATAAAACATCTTCCGATTGGTATAACCATAAATTTAATCAAAATTTCGTTCGTCCAATCAGCCATTTTTTGCACAAAATGTTTTGATTTATTTTTGTTTTGTTAACTGAGGACTCGCGAACTTAGGCGAGAGTAAAGTTGGTACGCCTCGCCTCGTGTCTCTTGTTCTTTTGACTTACGACGAAAATACTGAGACCAAACAGAGCGCCCACGAAGCGATACAAGTGAACCGACTTCACTCTCGTGCTCGTGTTGCCTCGTGGCACCTCGGCGAGAGTGTGGAGCAAACGATCGGCTGATTCTTTAGACATTAATTCTGGTAATATTTTACAGTTCCAATAAACTGGAAATGCAACTTCAGGTTGAAAATCTTATCTGATTTCTTAAGATATATTTTCACTATGTGTTCGTCTCATTAGACGAATTCTTTCTTTATTTAAAGCGATTTCAGAAGTATTTAAACCAATTATTTCAGCTGTTGCTGCTAATATATATGTGGCATTACGATCACTAACTTTAATACGATCTAGTACTGATGCAACAGCTCGATTAATTATATTCCTCGGACGTTTTCTAGGACATTTTGGTAAAATATATTTTATTTCTTCTTCACTATCACTTGTGCTTTTCTCACTACTGCTACTATTACTAATACACAATACTGTATGTTTTTCGATTTTTAAAAGTTCATTTTATTTTATTTTTTTCTTATTATTTTTAAGTTCATTACTATACATTTTTTTTTCTGTAATTAACTATTTTTTATTGAGTGCACCCGTCGATCCTCATCTACCCTTCTCTCTTTGTGCTTTCAAACATTCTTTGTCTTCTTGTAACTAATTTAAACTCATAACATTGGCATAGGCAACATCAAACAAATCATCTAAATTATTTACAAAATGGTTCGTTTGCATAACCTTTCTCTCTATTTGTCTGGTCTTATTTTTTTTTTAATACCAATCCATTTCAAATGTAATTTTTTGATCTGATTTATTATATTATAATTTTGTTTAGTAGAAATTCTCGCTTTATTCCAAAAATCTACCATTAATTTGTAGTTATATGAGCACTTTTTTGCATCGAAAAGTTATTTTTTAAATGCAAATGTAAAAAATGGCCAAGTATTTATCTATTTGATGGCAGTTTAGATCCAGTTAAAGTTTCACTTGTGGTGCCAATCAAATAAGTACCATGATTTTTCGAATTTTTATAAGACATTATATCATGTACTATACTAATGTATTATATTGAAATATTTATTTAAATCAATTACAGTGTAAAATGTACATATCAATAATTTAAGTCAATACAATTGCAATTTGCATGTATGAATAAGTGAATAATTGATTGTCTTCACAAAAGAATACCGAATTTAACTCAATGGCATACAAATACTAGTAGAATAACACGAGTATTGATAATTTAATAATTAATATCAAATTCATGGGTGAATAATAATCAAGTTTAATAATAAAAATATAGATAATCAGTTTTATCTTAAAAAGTAGGTTCCTAACAGAAAATCATATAAGTATAAAACTTTGATAGGTGTGTACGACCTCGAAATATGTGATTATCTAAATGATATTTTTACCACAACCAGTGCTCGACTTGAGGGGGGACACAAGAGGACGGAGTACCCCTTCTAATTTTTAGAAATTTTAGCGTCCCCCTACTATTAATACGTTTAATTATAACGCTTAACAAGTTTTTGGGACACAATTTTTTTTTAAGCAAACAGAGTCCCCCTTCTTTAATTTTGCCAAATCAAGTACTGACCACAACTATTTAATAACATATAAATCAATCAATATGATGAAGTAAGATGTTGGAAAAATAATTTTTTTTTTAGTCTATATATTTGAGTGGCAACCTAATATATATTTTTATAGAAATATATCCCTTAATTGCATGATTTTTTTTATTTTTACCAAATTAATTTTTTTCTATACATTATACTTCTAAGAATAAGGAAAAATTATTTAAAAAAATCATACTTCTTTTTTTCTTCAAAAGCTCAAACTTAAGTCTGGTTGCATGAATGCAACTATATGCATCTGGCGTACACTTATATACCGTTGTAGTATGTTTCAAACTAGAGTAGAAAATTAAGCATATGTATAGCCAAAGTGCAAGATTAAATTAATCAATAAATGTATTATCTTAAATTTATCTTCAATCTACACTAGTTTATATTACAAAAAACAAATAATATGAAAGTTAACTTTTTTTTTTTTTAGAAATATAACAATAACATAAACTCAAAAGTTTTATACTGTATCAAAAACTTGAACATAAAACAATATAGATTTCCTTCTCCATAGTTTATTCACTTATACTTATTTAATGTAATACTTATTATGTGTACTACAAAAAAATAAAAAGAACTACTTTTTTCCTATGAACATGATAATTCATATGCGTTGAAAAATTTTCTTTGTAGTTATAAAATTTAAAAAAAAAAAATGTTTCCTTTATGGTTTTTGTTATAATATTTAGAAACAGAACAGTAATAAAAACAAAAAAATTAAATTCAATACAATTTGTTAGTTGATATGAAATTTTTTAACTGTGTTTTTTTTTAACAATGTCAATGCAACGACCAACTCTGATAACCACAGTAAGTGATAAGAACTCCGAACGCATATAGTTGCACCAATGCAACCATTAGTTTTTCGATCAATTTGACGTCGTAATTTGTAAAAATAGCCGAAACGACAATACTGTACCAAAGTAAACATATGTTACTAACCAAAGTATAATATACAACGAAATTGATAAGATAAAAATATGGCCTCATAATCATAATTTATACGTCTGACTAATGATATTTAAACCATACTTGTAAATCTTAAATTTACTTATAATAGAATTGGCATCAACTAAATTATAGTAAAATACCCATAGAATATAATGGTGCGATTTATTATCACTTAATTTAAAAATCCAATTATTTTTAAATGATTTTATATTCGGTTGCACGAATGCAACTATATGCAATAAAGGGATATAATATGTTTAAAAAAAATGGAAAATCTGTCTTCCAACCATGAACATTATTTGATAAAGATTTCACAAAAATATAAAATAACTATATCCATGAAGAATGTCTTGAAATTTAAATTAATTAACACTTACTTTTGATCAAACAATTCATATTTATATAGAAAAAACTAAAAGTTTGTGTAAGTATTATGAATTCTAATTCTGTTATATTTTATTTGTTTTTAGGATATTGATTATTCTGATGAAACAAACACTCAAGTACTTGAAGCTTTAAATGATGATATTAATCATGTTGAACATAATGAAAATGACAATTTACCTGACCCAAATCTTGACGAGGTAATTTTATATATATTATAACGATTAAAGTTCAGTAAAATAATATTGCTACTTTTTTAAGCTAATTTATTTAATACTTCGGGTAAAGTAAGAAATTATCACTAACTACTAATTTTAATGCCTGGTTTATAATAAATTGTAAACTAGACATAATACTAATAATTATCATTTAATAATAATATATCACTAGAGTTTGCTAGAAAAGTATTTAGATGAGTTGTCCTGTCACCTGTAAGTCGATCTACTGAATCTGGACAGTTTTATTTTTTCGTACTGGATTTGTATCTATTTGAATCCTTCTTAAAAAATGTTGTATCCCTTTCCATTTGTTGTAAAATTGAATTTTAGTTCCGGGTGCTGTTATGACGCAGGCGTTGTCTTGACACCCTGCTTCCTGAATGAATACATTGTTGGTGCTTTTTAAGTAAACGTAATAACTTAGTGCCGTATCCAATGGGAGGATAAGGGGGTATTTTCTCCTTCCCCTATTAGCCCGGTTTATGTATATATAGTATATTTAATATATATAAATAATGTTTAATATTTTATGACATAATGTTAGTGAATTTCTTGTAGTATAGTATAGTTATTTGCATCTTTTTTTTAGCTTAGAAAAAAAAATTAAAAGTCCTATTATATTAAAATATTTAATAGCATATATTTTAAAACAAAATATTTAACATTTATTTACTTAGGGGAACAGATGCTAATTCAATAAATATATGACTGATTGGTTTTACCACAATATCTCTGTTTTTTGCCATATTTAGGAATAGTACTAACTTCAGATGTCGATGAATAAAAATTAAAAATTTCTTTTTCTAAATTAATATTTCCGTCAAATGCATTCAAAGATACAATTGTTGAACTAGTTTAAAATATAAAATAGTTAAATACTAATAAAATAGTTTAAAACTATAAAATAACCACAAAGACAAATTTTACACTTATTTACCCAAAAATAAGATGGAAATTCTTCAAATAACTTCTCTGAGTTAAAGCACAAATCAATATTTTTATATAGCCTTTGCTATCAGCAGCCAAGCATGCTAAAATCGATAAAATTGAGTCAGCTGCACAAGTATTACTCAACATTAATTTTTATGTGTGTAATTGGTTTAAAAAGTCCTTTTTTATTTAAAATAATATGCTCAAATTTTGGCTGTTTGTTGAGGTATGATTTAGTTGAACATTATTTCAACTGTGAAACCTTTGGTGTTCAATGACCATTCCAGTTTTCTGTAGATTTATTTTCCAAAACAACTGATTTATGCATGCCGTTACATTTCAAGCAAATTCGAGCTTCTCAGTGATTAAAGTGGGAGGACTATATTCATCAAAAATTGAAGAGCGTTCCCCTACCTAATTTTAAATCTTACCAACCTTTTTTAGGAAATCCATGAGATCTAAGCCTCTTCTGTTACACATATATGTTCATAAAAACTTTATTTTCATAGGGTGTAAAAACAAATTTCCCCCAAAGAAAAATAATTCTATATATATGTCTACTCAGTAAAAATAAATTGAAATAGATAATGTTTAAAAAACTTATCTTAAACTTAACAAAACTAAAAATAAACAATTACTAACCTTGCTAGATGTTGGTCAACGTAGACAGTAGGTAACAAATATGTACATTGCACATTCTATTCTGTTTTTATTTTTTCTAAATAATAGTTGATATCACTATCAATTTAATTTTAGAGCTATGTGTAATAACCACTCGGGGATTATCTATAATTAGACACAGGCCAGGATTTATAGAATAATGGGCCCTGGGGCTAATAGTTAAAATGGACCCATTAAGGCACCAAAAATATAGCACAATAAATAACTTAAAATATTTTTAAATTGTATAGATATTATAGATGAAAAACATTTAAAAATAATAATTGTAATTATTACACATAATAGGTATTTGAAATATCCATAAGTTATTTTTATATTTAACCAAAATAATTATTAAGTACTCTTATTTAAAACATTTTTTTTCTTGATTTTTCATGAGCAAGTCTGTATAGTGTCTTGAAAATCAATTGATGATAACAAATCATGTTCAGAAGATAATATTATAAATGATTTTAAGAATTCTTGAGTCTGACTAGTTCTAAACTTATTTTTTATACATGCTAACTTTGAAAATGCCCATTCAGCAGAAAAATGTGCAACAGGAATTGTTAAGTATAATCAAATTGCAATTAAAATATTAGGAAATATATCTTTTATTTTTATTTCTTCAAACCATTCTAATATTTTATGCACATTTTAAGCATCAAATAGTGGTTTACTGAGATTCCAATACTCTCTAAATTGAACCAACTCATTTTTTATAGAAGGTTCTATTGTATGTAAATTCTATGTCATCTTTATATATAAAAATGAAATTATCCAAGCTTAAGTTAATATCATTATCTGGCTGGATATTTAACTTAGTGATAAATAAAAAATGCTAAGATACATAGTTATATACGATTATTCTTTTATCTAATTATGTTACAAACTTATCTAAAATCATAATATGTGTTTTTACTCTAAATTTTTCAATACCTTTTAATTGAGTTGAATTTTGAGATCCACTTGTACACTTTCTTTTAATTTGTCTTTCATTATCTTTATTTTTAAAATGTTTTTTTAGTTTTAAACTTAGTTTTGTAGTTTGATTTTCATAAGTGTTATACAATTTCTTAGACTACCCACATAATTTTTCAAAGATATAAGTAGATTAAATGATTTTAATGGATCAATAATTTTACTTTGAAGTTCAACAGATGTTTTATTGGTCCGTTCTAATATATCATTCCATAAAATAGCCAAATATCCAATTTCTTTTTTTAATATAGATTTTAATAAAATTTTTACATCTCTTCTAGTATCACCATTTTCAATATTACTATCACAAATGAATTCCAATACATTATAATGGTATTATAATTTTTTATCAAAACATTATAAGCATCAAAGTGACTAGACCATTGTGTATTACCTAACAACATTAATACACTTAGTTGATTTTTACTATTTTTTTCTAATTTTTCTGTTAATATTTTCAACGATGTTTAGAACCATTAAAAAAAATTGTATAACATTTGAACAAATCCAAAAAAACTCTTAGCTTCAATGCAACAATCTACACTATGCATACCAATTAAATTTAATGAGTGGGCAGTACATGGAATATAGACAGCTAAATTACTTTTATTTTTCACAGAACTTTGTAAACCTTCATACTTGCCGCTCATATTAGCAGCATTGTTGTAAGACTGGCCCTATAGTCTTCAATATTTAGTCCAACACTCTTTAAGTATTTTTCTAATATAAAATATAATGACTGACCTTTATGGTTATCAAATGGACATAACTTAACTAGTCGTTCGTTGACACTAGTTGGTGTACAATATCTTAGAACTATGGTCATTTGATCAGTTTTGGATAAATCAGGTGTGGAGTCCATTATGATTGAATAATACTTGGCTTTTTTTATTTGTGTTATAATAAGATTAGTGAGATCTGTATTAATTTAAGTAATTAGTTTGTTGCAAATAGTTTTTGAAAGGTATGATGGATGTCCACTACCTTAGTTACCATGCATTTCAATATGATTTCTTAAAAAAGGATCATGTTCTGAAATAAGTTCTAAAATACCCAAATAATTATCATTATTATTTCCACCGAAAACTTCTTTATCGCCTCTAATATAAATATAAGCCTCTTGACGCAAGAAACTTGATTACAGAAATTACACGCTTTAATAGTTCTTGCCAATATTCAGTTTCCTCAGAGATTTGTCTACGCATTTCTTTATTAATTAAAATAGTTGAATTTACTAACCATTTTGTAGTGGCATTTCTGTGATCTAAACTATTTTCGTGTTGAGTAACTCTTTCACTTTTTTTCCACTTATCAAATCCACTGCAGACAAATGGATTGTCTTTTGATCGACAACTTCCTAATAATTTGCACATGAAACAAAAAATACTTCCTTGACTGGGAGAATATAACATTCATTGCCGTTGACATTTTTCACCATTAGACAGTGTTCTTACAAATATTCCATTGGTTAGATGTCTTGTGTGATTTTTATCTGTAAATTAAATGTATTTTCTGTATTTAACTAGGTATTATTTGTATAATGAAGTTACATTATAATTTACAATCACAACGGGTAAATTGGTTAAAATTATTATTTTTATTTTGGAAGATTTCTGGTCCTTTATACAAAATTGTAGGAATTTATTATGAACTTTACTTGGCCAGTAATATGGATCAATATATGAGGATGAATTTACATTATAATCATTCAATTCAACACTTTCAGGAGTAGGATCACATTTTTCAGTTACTTGTAATTCTGCTTCATTTGTAACAGTTGAATCAATTTTATTATAAACTGAAAGTTATTTAAACTATAAATAGTTCAGTTATATATATGTAAAAAAAATGGACTTATAATGTACTATAACACTGTACTATATTATACATTAATACTTGATATTAATATTATATTATAGATATTGCTTAAAAATTTAAATTATTACTTGGTAATAAATCACAATTATTACTATTAAAATATCCAGTAATCTTTGGCAATGCAGCAGTCAATTCCTTTTTTTTTCTTTTAGTTTCCTTTTTTGATATCCACTCATGTATTTTTTTTTTCATTTATTGTGAAATAATACAAATTAAAAATTTAAAATAAAATAGTTTGTGTAACCCGTACAGATAGTTAAATGTTGATGTGTCTAATATCTATGAGATATGCGTACCTACTCTTGTCGTTTGATAAAACAACTGACAAATATACAACAAAAATACATCACTCGTAACACGTACAAATTATCACGATTTAAAATAATAACACAATAAGTATTATTATTAGTTATCATGCATTATTCTGTCAGACAGAGTAATCACTATAGTGGCATTTCCCACACGGGCTACAAGGCTCAACAAAATAGATTATATACAATAACTCGAATTCATAATAAATTAATAACAAAACTATTGATATATCTTATCGCTAATCAAACTTAACCATCGAGAATAGAAATAGACACTGTAATATCTATAATTTCTTTATTTTGTGGTAATAGTGAAATACTGTACATACCACAAAAACAAACTTAATTATTTAATATTATAGGATTTCATTTTATTAATTTTTTTTATAATTTAATATTTTGTGATAATGATTTTTAGAATTCTTAATTTTTGTCTGGAAAGCCCCATAACATTGTGGTCCCTGGAGATGCGACCCCTCTGCCCCCCCCCTTAATCCGGGCCTGATTAGACACAGCGTCAACTAAATTAACACATGGTATACATTATCTACCATTTTTGCTTATTGTTATATCTACATATTATTTCTTCAAAATTTTTTCCACTTGTTTAAATTAATCAAGAAAATAAATTTCATGTAATATTTTAATATTATAATAAGTATTGTCATAGGTGTGCGCAGACTTCAACTTCCGGTCGAGCCTAAATACAATTAGTGCCCCAATACTTAGACAATACCCCTAATTTTTTTCTAACACTTCAACATAGTAAATTCTGTTGTAAATTAAAATGTAATATTTATATTTATACATAGAATCAAGTATTATATTGCTAATTTCTAGACATATATTTTTGAAGTTAAAAGTAAAATTTTAAATTCTTTAAAATCAAATTATATAAATACAATTAATTGATTTCCACGAAAATATATTTAGACATTTTACTATGGTTAGTTTAAATTTTACTATGCCTCCAAAAAAATTCCGGTCAAGCCTCGGCTCGCCCCGTGTGTATGCCTATGAGTATTTTATATTCAATATTGTATTTTAGCGACCAATGCCATTAAGTATCCACCCGGACTTTTTGCTATTTAAATTAAAGAGGATGCATAATCTTACCTTAAATAAGAAGGATGATTCCATCCCCCTACTTTAACCACTGAAGATTCTCCATAACCTTCTTCTGTCTGATCTGCTGGTAATGAGCAACCAAAAATGTGTAATGCGTTTTTACATACGATTTACAACGATGCAAACCAGTTGGTGTATCTCCATTCACACACATTAAACAGTGTTTTTATGTTCAGTACCAGTGGCGTATACAAGGGGGTGACGTGGGGGTCAAATCCCCCCCCCCATTATCTTTTTATTATTTAATTATTTTTTGTTTTTCATTATATTATATAGTATGCACTATAAAAAAATATTTTGTGATAAAAATCTATCGAGCTATTGAATTTTGACAATTTAGTCAACACTGAAAACCATTATAATTTTATTTTCGTTTATTTATAGCAAAGTAATGTTTATTTGGTATTTTAGTCGAAATGCCAATGACGACTATGATTATACTTTATTATAGCTTATCTTATAATTTATAAAGACAATACTATGTATATAACAATATGTATGTAACCTGGGCTTTAAAATATTATCGGATACTATCGTTGTTATGAGAAAAGAGAATGAGATCATTATCGTTACGGATTTAGTTCACCGCGTATACATAGTACATTCTATTTATTTATTTGAAATTTAAAAAAAAAAAAAGAAATTCACGGGATAATTGATAATTTATTGAACCTATCATGGATTCGTGGAGAAACATAGTTCATAATTGTACCCGCATTTACAAAAATAGCAGTGCCGTCAGACGTCAGATTGTTCCTATTGTTAAATATTTTACTATCTAAAATTTTTTAAAAAATTATAAAATAGTAAAAAAAAATTGAGAGGATGGGAGATTTTTTCAATTTTTCCATCCCATTTAGTTATGTCGTTTTCTTTTTTTGATCCCCCCCCCTTTCAGAAATCATGTCTACGCCACTGTTCAGTACTGAACAGTTTCTAAAAACAATCACTGATAAACAGCACGAAATATTATATGTACCTACTACTTACATGGTTCCGATATACATTATCTCTTTATACATCCATAATAATAGTATAGTATAACATAATATTAATTAATATAGGTACAAAATAATTCCTATAGAAGAGCTACTATACGAGTAGTCATTACTCATTACTTTTGTGAAACAACTGACTTGAGCAGAAGGTTTATATAGGCCTATATTTATTATTATTTTATATAATATAAATATTTATTATTTGGAATTGTTCATATGGGCAGATTCAATGTCCTTTAAGACAAATGGAAAGGGATACAATCAAGTAAAAGGTATACAAAAAATAAAATTGGTCCGGATACGATCGATCGACTTTTAATTCATCCGAGTGCCAGGACATTGTTACAGCACCCGGAACTAAATTTCAATTTTACAACAAATGGAAAGGGGGTACAAAAAAAATGAAATTGGTCCGGATTCGATTTGTCAATTTGCGAGTGACAGGACGACTCACCTAAAGTATTTAAATCTTAAAAATATTGGACTCTGTTTTATTCAATTATTTAATATGATCATTATTTTTTTTTCGATTGTTATTATAAAATAAAAATATTTTCAAACAATTAACATATATATATATATACAGGGGTGGATCCAGAGTAGGGGAACTGTGGGTTAAGCCATTTCAAGAGGCCATTTATTAGGGATGAAACTGAATTAGAAATTAATACCTTGTAAAATAAAAAACACAATATGCTCATAAAAGTTTATAAGTATATTTATATAACATTTTAGAATTAGTGGTACCACCTATAATGACTTATTTACGATTAATAAATATAATCTAATTTTATCAGCGCAACAAACGTTCGGAATAAAATATGATTTACTTTCTACTAAAACGATATAATTTAAAATATAAATTATGAATTATACATTCTAAATTTTGAATATACATGGCATTCATTTTTCAAGTAAATCCGATGGGTCAACTGACCCTCTGAACCTCCCCCCACCTAGATCCGCCCCTGTATATATATAACTGTACGTGTCATATCACTTATTTGGTTAAAAAAATATTATTTTTGAGTATTCATGTAGGAGTATTATTGTTAAAATTACTATAAGGAATATAAAATATTTATAAAACATAAGTGATTAATAATTTTGAGAACAACTTTAACTAGTTTTATTTCCTTAGTCTGAAGATAATTTTAATTTACAAGACTTTAAAAGAGAAACCACTATAGATATAGCAGATCTAAAAAAGAAAATGTTTGACATTATTAATACAGAATGTATTGTAAGTATTTATATAATATTTAGTGTATTATTTCTATAACAATTATTTATTTATTTTTTATATATACATAGAAAATTGAGTCAGATAATGAATGGAGTAGCCGGTTACTATTTTCAACATTATTACAAAAAATTACAGAAGATAGGCAAGACCTCTCTGTTGGTGTTGCCTATGTAAGCCTTCTACATCTGGTCAATGAACGTGGTTTAAAATTGTTTCAAGATGGCGAAATTATAAATGGTAGGAAAGACATATATATTGCCAGACCTCTGGCCTAATGGAGACTTTAATATTACTAAAATAAAGTTATTTGTATCGATCAATATATTAGAATTTATATCAACTGAAATGCCATTATGTTTTAACTATTAAAATTAGTTTTTTATCATTATTTGTATTGTTTTTTTTTTAAATTAATTATTATTATTATTATTATTATTATATAAACAGTGCTTAATTTTTATTTTATACTTAGTATTAGGGTTAGGGAGTTCTAACATTGACTATATTTTTTAAAGATTAAAAAAAAAGCTAAGTCAAACTACTATTCATAAATTAAGGAACATTGATCTAAAATTTTATTTTATATGTTATTAACATAAAATTTGAGGCTTTAATTTGTTATGGATTCAGCAGTTACATTAACCACTAAATTGTATTTGCTTAAAAAAAAATAAGTGCTAAGTAGCCATAGATAATATCCATGTTTAATATTTATTTGATATATTATATTATTTATAATTTATATTTAATATCATATATATATATATCAATTAAAATTCCTTAATATTTTAAGTATTGAAGTTAGTTTTTTATCATTATTTGTATTATTTTTACTAAATGAATTATTATTATTATTATTATTATTGTATAAATAGTGCTTGATTTTTATTTTATGCTTATTATTAGCGATATTCAAATTTTTGTATAAACAAAAAAATTATTTTATTTGAAACAAATTTCAAAGAAGTTTTTTTTTAACAATTTTTTACTTGTGATACATTTGATAAAAAATGTAAAATACAATTTCCTGTCTACGTTTTATCTGAAGAAATAAATATTTTTCAAACTGAGTTTAGTTATGATACTAAGAAGTTGTCTTCTACCCTTTAAATGGAAACAGTCAATTTACAATATAATGATTAAGGTTGGGATTTTGATGCAAATTTATCTTTTTTTTTTCTAATGTCCCAATACGTAGGTCTGTAAGCAGAAAATTTGTTTCAAGTGATTTAATGTAGTTTTTATTTTACATTTTATAACAAATTAAACTTTATATGCATTTTTAGGGCATATTTTGCTGTTTTTATGGCATTTTTCAAGTTTTTAAATAATTTTTCAGAACTTATCGATTAATTCTTAAATATTAGGATATTTGATCACGCGTTTCAGTATTTGTTCACTTAAAACTTGCACTTTTAGTATGTAATCTACTTGATTAGTAAACTAATAAATACGAGCATATCGGCCCATGTACATATTTTATTAAAAGTAGAATATAATTAAAATAGCCGAAAGAAATTTTTCCATTTGCAAGAGAACATCGTTGCTAACAACGATAAAATTTAAATAAATAAAATGTAAATATTAAACTTATAGCTACCTATTTAATCAGTGGCATATCCATTAGGGAGGGCTTGGGGGTCCGAACCCCCCCATGAACCTGAGATGGTAAATTAACTTTTACATGAAACACGGTTTTTTCTTTAACATTTATATATTTTATAATTTTGACTTGGAAATCATATTAATAGTTTGTATAAACACTATAAACATATACACACGATGCACACACACACACACACAAACGTTATAATATTATGATCATATTTAAATACTTTATTACTACTTTGATAATTTTTGCTTGGGAACAAATTATTTAGGTTTTCTACAACGGTTTATTCTAAATCGGTCGTCTGGGCCCCATAACTGATATAAAAGTGATATCATTGTCTGTATTTAAAGTTTATTTTGGGTATTCCTATTGCATTCGCGGCTCGCTGATCATTTATCACAAGCACTTTATTGTGTAAAACTAATAGTTATTAGTTAATAGTCGTTGCCAGTGGCGGATCCAGGGGGGGGGGCACGTGCCCCTCCTGTCAAGTGGGATCTAAAAATAATTACGGGGAAAATTTTTATATTTTTATAGCTTTCATAAATGTTTTATTTGAATAATTTTTTTTTATGTACACTACAATTTAAATAATTTGAACTTGACATTAGTAAATATCTTAATATGTATAACTCTACGGTCTTTACTAGTTACTTTTAATATCGTATTTTTCTATTGTCGGACTCCGGAACTCCCAGCATATCACCATGCGTCGGACTGCCGATGTTGTCACTTTTTTTCCGATCGTTATAATTTAAAAATAAATTTTACAAGAATGATTATTGTGCCCCTCCTCCTGTCAAAATATTCTAGATCCGCCGCTGGTCATTGCCCGTTGGTGTCTCACTGTTTTAATTACTACTCGTTTATTCGCTTATAGTTAACATTTGTATTCCATTATGTTTGGTTTATTTTATTTTGACATCATTCTATGACGTCTAAACATTCCATTATGGTAAGATATTTTTAAAATTTAATTTTTAGTATACCTAAGTGATTGGATATTTTAATATTCTAATATCTAATATTTATGTTCCTATATTAGTTCCTAGTTCCTAAATTGTTATTATTATTATTATTTATTATTATAGCCAAATTCTCTAACAAATAAGCAGACTAGAAAATTAATTTTTTTTTTTACCTGAATCAAAAAAACTAATGTCAACCAGACTTAAAAATACCGAGATCAATACAAATATTAGTCAAAATGATAGTGATAAGATTAAATATATATATAAATATGCTGAACCTCCCTCCATAAAAAGTTCCTGGCTACGCCACTGCATTTTATTATTTTCATGTATAACTAGCTGACCCGACAAACGTTGTTTTGTCATATAAATTATTTCTAGAGAATATTTTGCTAGAAAAAAATAACTAATTTAATATAAATGTGTAAGGATGTGGCATATAAGTGGAAGAAGTATGGAGTATAAAAATGAAAAAACATCAAACATTTATTGTTTTAATAATTTATTAAAATTAATCCTCTAAAATTATATATATATATATATATATCGCTAATTATGAAAATATTAGTAAAAAACAATATCATTCCCTTAATGTAACAGCGTGTACAATATTTTTTGTTATCACATCTTTCGCCAATACAAACAAATTAAATGGTTCGAGAGCACGCCACGTATAATTGTCCGTGTGAAAAACATGATGCGCTTAAATCTAAGCCACAGACAGACATCGTTTGGCCTTGAGACTTATTGATGTCATTGCAAATGCCAATCTAATTGGAAATTGAAGGTGTTTAAAATGTATTGACACATCTGTGGGTATAATAGGGATTCGCGGTAATAATATATTTTCACCTCGAAATTTGCCATTTAAAATTATGGCTTCGATAACATTTTTCATTAATTTTTTAATGACTAATCGCGTGTCGTTGCACAACCGTGGTGGGTTTAAATTACGAAGCTAAATAACCAGAGACCCAACCTTCAGTTGTAAATTATGCGGTGGCTTGCCTAGTTTAAAAACTATTAGATAATTTACAGCTTCAATAGCAATGTATATTTTATCAAAAGATTTGTATGACTTTTATCTGTAGTAACTTTCCCATCACCGATATCTAACAATTGTTTTGAGAATCTTCCGCACGCAGCTTTTTTTGATTGGATAGTAAGTATCGAAATCGTTCGCTCTCTATCTTTACATACATGACGACCATGAATTTTTGACAAAGCTCACGACATCGTAGAATAACGTTGTCCTGATCGCGTCTAATCATCAACCGATATGCATAATAATCCTTCGAACTAACATTCTTGTTTGTTTTGGCACCTGTCACGGGATCTTGTTGTTTAATATTAATGCAATACCCGTCATTTAATACCAAAAATAAAATTAATAGTTTTTAAATAGTTTCATTTAATAATTAATTTTTAATTGCGCAGTTGTCGACCTGATCAAAAATTATTAAATTAAACTACGATTTATTAAACAATAGCACTTTTCCAACATTTTTTTTCGTAAAAACCTTCTCTTGGCAATTACAAACAATTAAAAAAATTTGAGCCAAATCGGCCCAACCGTTCTCAATTGATGAAATGTTATACATTTTTGGCTCCATTTATTTATGTATAGATAAATATAATTAAATATGTTTGGTAACATGATTTTTATAAAATCGTTTATAAACTATAATAAATACATTTTTATAGTGTATATTGTATAATTCTTAAAGCATTTTTGCTATTTTCTAGAGCATTAAATCCCAGCACTAGTAATGATGTACTGAAAAATAAATAGCAGGACTTAAGTTGATTTTTATTAATTTATCTTAGTTTTACCAGTGGTTCCGAACCGGTGAGAATTTCTTCCTCTAAAGAGGTGAATTTAGATACTTTACGGGGGGTGAGGGGGGTTATAGTGATGATAAAACAATAAGAGTTTTGTCGTTAAAATTATTACACCATTCTACAGCCAATAAAATTGAAAAAAAAAAAATTTCAGGGGATCGCCTCGATAACAATTTTACGAATATTTTATAATGATTGATCTCTTCACAAGTTAGATTACCTTGTATCCTAAAATAATAAAAAAAAAACCTCGATATGCATTAATTTCAACTGTATTTACTTATCTTATTAAATCTTATTTTTCCACTTTTATAAATAAAAATCAAACGAAATCGGATCTGAAAAAATAATATGCATTGTCAAAAACATTCCCACGGATTATGGACTTGGTAAAAAAAAAAACAATCCCAAATTACTTATTGCATTTTTTAATTGTAATATTTGTATAAAAATGTAAAAAAAAATATTAATAAGTTGATTTATATTTTATAATAAGGTAATTTTTAAGGGAGAGGCGTGAGATTTTCGAAAATGTACAAGGAGTGCATAGAATAAAAAATAAATAAATAAATAAAACGTGTTCCTAAAAATAGATGAGAACAAAATCAAATACCATAGAAATCGGTACTCGGGAGAATTTATAGTTTTAAGCGATATGCAATCATATGTAAACATTGTAAACTAATAAATATGTTCAAGATTATACATTTTAAATTATCTAATAATATAATAAATTTTACTAAAGTTCATAAATGGTTCTCAATAAAATTATGTTATAATTAAAGACCGCATTTATATGTTTTTACATATCGTTACTTGGTCTATGCAGTTGTATGAGAGTAAAAAATATGGACGATTCATTCTATTCTAAGTTTGTAGAATGATTTTTTGCATATTCTAATATCTAATTTTTTTTGCATATTTTAGAATATATCATAGGTTAGAGAATATTTAGCCCATTTAGCATATTTTAGAATATTTGATTTTTTTTTTCATAGTTGGAGATTATACAAACTGTTATCTGCAAACTAACCAATATACCTGGTGAAACGGGTAACATAATAAAAATACTAAAGTGTCTCAATTAAGTTAAAAAAAATAAAGGTTACCAAATGTTAGCAAAAGTTGGGAACATTTTATGTGGAAACAATGAAGATCTCCCAGAATATTTTACACCTAATGTAGTTGTTGACATGAAGTTTGCACCTCTAATATCTGTTGATATTGAACGTTCATTTAGTCTCTATAACAAATTTTAGATAGAAGAACTAACATTAGTACAGATAATATGTAAAATATATTATTGTTAATTCATATAATAAAATTTAAATAGTATTTCAAGTTCCTTTTTTATTCTTCAAAAAGTAAATATTTACCATTGTACGCACCAAATAAATTTTGTTTTTTTTTACATATATATATATATATATATACATACCTATATTGTTATTTTATATCTTGTATTAAATTATTATTATTTAAGGATTACCTTTTGTTAACCAATTTTTTTTTTTGTTTTATTATATTTTAATATATATGATTATTCGTTATTTTTAATATTGTGACAATAGTGTTAATACAACATTTAATTAAAATATACCAAAGGAATATTGTTTTTAAATTTTAATACTGTAGACCAGGGATCGCCAATCAGTCGATCGTTGTAAAATTTAATTCAATCAGTCGATCGCGTAATATAATCAGATTAATTGGATAATGGGAATATTAGATTTAAAGATTAAAGACCTACATTTTCCTGGATGTCAATCGCTAGGGACTTAAATGTTAAATGAAGCTCACTTGTTTGAAAACGTTGGTGACCCCTGCTATAGACTATACTGTAATATTTTTATTATATTCCTACTCTTACTGAAGTACAATAGTGTTCTATTATAATACGCAATTACGTATATACCTCATTATTAAAAGAATGTTATAAAAAAAAAAAAATTTAAAAATGCATATTAAACCTTATATTGATGTTGATTATTTTTGAATAATTTCGAATATTTTTACATATTTTAAAATTTTTAAGGGAATATAATAAGAATATTTGAAGGTTTTTTTTAGAGAATATTAGCATCATATTTAAGGTATTTTAAGAGAATATAAATCCGGTCTTCAATTATAATTAATATGCGTGGTATTAAATTAACAATAGTTTTAAAACAAAAATTCCCAGTAGGAGGAATGGCCTCTTTTGCCTCCCCCCCCTGCGGGCGCGGAACAAAAAAAAGCGACTTCGTTTTACATACGAGTAGTAGTATAGAAGTATAGATATAGATATAAATATGTTTTATTAAAGTAATCTATGTTTACTAAATTGGCACGTTACAGATAATGCCTTGGAAAACAAATTTAAAATTCTAAGGAGGAGTAAGTGCCCTGTCTTTCCCCCCTGGGGATACCCATGTGTCTTGGTACATTAATCAATGAATTTATTATTTTATTAGCTGACTAAAAATACAGGTAGGTGAGTTGTCACTAATAACAAAGATTTTTTTTTATCATGACGAATTTTATGTTGAATAATGGATGCCATAGTAATGTAAAATATAAATGATTAACTTTTTTAATTTACTATATTCATAGTTCTAACCAATTGGATAATCGTGGTCTTCTGAATACGCATAGTTGATAGATTAAAACCATGAATGACGTGCGACACGTTAATAATGAAGGTATGTAATTTTAAGAAATCAAAAATTACATTTCGTTCCACGTGGATATAATATTTCTACAGTGATTATATTTTAGGGCGTCGTTCATAACCGCACACTTTTATATCTTAATCTCACATATTTTCGCCAAATTAAACCGTTCAATACCGCACAAATTTATATATATATCAATTACGTATACATTTATTTAAAATAACATGAGTGCACCTCAAGACCGAGCGGGGTCACTCATTCGCTCGGACAGTTAAAAACGAAAATATCCCCCGATTTGCTATGTAACATCACTCCAAGTAAATCCCAATATAAAAAAAAAGATTTTTTGTGGAACTCATATGAAACCGGCAACGTGAACTGTACATGCAAAGAGTGCAGAGAGAAAGGAACTGTTAACTAAATGTATGCGGTTTTTAATTACCGACCTTTCAAATTTCCCTTTTTAACAATAGAATAAATATGTACGGTTTTGATGACCGCCGATATTTTACCTGTATGACTGTAGATAATCTAATAACAATAAGTTACTTGATAAAACAACAACTACAATAGGTACTTAATATCAATGCCGTCCCGAGGGCAGGGCAAACGGGGCACTTGCCCAGGGCCTCGTGCCTCCAAGGGCCTCACGTTTATACAATAATATATATATATATATATATATATATATAGTTACAACATACAACATACCATGTATAAATAGATTATAAATATATGAATCGAGGACTGCTATTCTGGTGTACTTATGAATTTCGATACAATATTGTAGGACCTCGAATTCTAATAATGCCCAGGGCCTTGCAGAACCTAGGAACGGCACTGCTTAATATCAGACCTAACTCATTTTTGGAACTGCCCATTTTTGCTTGCCCTTTTTCGTGTAATATGAATAACGATAATGTTGATCAAATATGATACGATATCGCTGCACATCATACAGAAAAAAACTTCGAACTGCCCCGTTTTGCCCCGCTCTAACCCTACCGGCCCTGGTGCTTACGGTTTTTTATTTTGCAGACGAATCGTTACGATTGGTGTGGGACGACATGGGCAATACCGACTTGGACGTCATACCGTCGTCACCGCTGGCCGTCAACACCGATCACATGTGTGTCATAACGTTACCGTCGCTCGAGTTCCACGACTTTGACGCGTTGCCCGTGAAAACGACGTTGTACAACAACGGTCGGACGGGTACGAATGTCTAATGTTATCCGCGCGTACATATCGACGTACGAAAAATCGCTAATAAAACGATTTAAAAGTCTTCTTTGCGCGACTATGCCCGTCCCGTATTCCCTTGAAAATTAAAACGCACCAACTATCTAATGATATATATATATATATATATATATATATATATAATAAACTATATACCTTTCGCCCTCATAAACTATATCCCTACATAATTACGTAGGTAGTGCCAATAAAATTATACCTATTTCTCGTACGTGTTTGTATTATGTACATAGTCCACATTGGCGGCCTTGTCGAAATAGGTTTATCAGTAAAATAACAGTACAATATTTATCTTTCTAAGACGTATAACTGTATGAAATTAAAACAGTCCAGTAAAAAAAAAACATAATTTTGATGTGATAGATAGAATAAATGTCGATAAAGGTCGATTTTTTTCGAATTGTGTACTTCAACTGCGAAACGCCTTATTAAAATAAACTGTATCTCTGTACACCTCAATATAATTTTTCAATACAATATCATTCGAGTGAAATAATATTTATTATATTATCTTAAAATGTGATCAGTGACATAGGCGTAACTTGAAAATTTATTAGGGGGGAGGGCAAAAATATAATTACATATCTAACATCTAAACCGAGGTTAAATGCCGCTTTACTACCTTCATATTATTGTATAAAATTATTCATTTTCTAACATTATGTTAGATAAGCGAAAATCTAAGATTTAAAAAAAAATGTTATAGTAATAGCTATAACCAGCTGTTTTGTACATATTTTAAAACAAGGTATGTTAAATTCCAGAAGGGTCACTGCCCCTCCTAATTTTTTAGGGGGGGAAGCAATCCCCCCAGTTCACGCCTATCATCAGTGACACTTTAAACGTGTTGCGTGTACCGATGACAATACAACGAACCAAAAATAAATGTGTTCACTATAATATAATATCACAGATTATAATATAAATGTTTCGTTTAATCTGTGAAATATTATGGTAGTTAAATGTTAGCGAAATAATAATATTGTGTCTATAGTAACGATGAATGGAATTTGGTCATCTGATAAACGACCGTCCATCTCAGGTTCCAGTTTGATCGACAGGTACTGTTTTTCTCATTTGCACTTTCACTGGACGGAAAACAACAACTTAGGAAGCGAACACACCATCAACGGCAAATGGTAAGCAACGGTGGTTGTATTAAAATATTACGATTTAACCATAAAATACCTATGACTTTTCGACGGAAGATATTGAAATATCCGTATTTATGCTGAAAAAATACATTATTCGTGTAAATGATAAATGTCTACTGAGATAAAACCCATTTTTATCATGCGCAGTATTATAGTCATCACGGTAATATATTGTTAATTTGGTAATAATTGGACAAAATTAATATAAATATAACCATTTACATAGTGTTTGCATAATTCAAAGCAATAATTACTGAAATTTGAACAAAGTTAGGTGCATAATATATAATTTAACAAAATAATTAAGTCGCGATTTCATTGACTTTGTAAATACCTGATAATAACTTTTAAATTCGAAACCGGTCGTACACAATGGCGAAACTAGATTCTTGGAGGCCCATGTAAAAATTTTCGTGGAAAATTGCTAGGACGGAATTGCTTATAACAGATACCTCATTAAATATATTTTTATTTTATAGTCATGCAATGGAAATGCATTTGATATTCTTTAAAAGATCATGCAAGACAATTTTTGAAGCCGAATCGCAACAAAATGGTTATGTGACATTAGCATATGTTTTCAACGTAAGTTATAAAAGTGATAATACAATTTACATAATCCATCGTTTTAATTTTATTCAAACGAAAATAATAATATTTTAAAATCGATTAGTTAGTGCATACCAAATATTTGCTATTCATAGATATTGATGGAAATTATATCGCCGCATTAGTGTTACATTTTTTTTGTCTATAAATATTTTTCTGGTAGTTCTTTTACACTTTTTCATGTAATAAATTGCTGTTAGTATTAATATTGGTGTTGTTACTCATACTTGCTGTGAAATCATAAAGACAGCAGTCGGTTTTGATAAATCTTTAGCCGTTGCCCGTTGCCCGGAGTACACTATGTGGAAGCGATTTACCTTTGTACCCCTTTGAGGTACCCCTTTATACCCCTTTGTACCTTTGAGCCTTCCGATACACGCAGATGTAAGATTAAATATGGATAGACTGCGATTTAAGTCACGCAAACCACCCTGGAAAACCGCAGAAATGCTATTACTGAAAAATACCGGGGGAAATACCAAATGGCTTAAGGATTGGATGGCGGAAAACCCTGATGTACAAAACATTGTTACCAATCCAACTTCTTAACAACCAGGCTTCGATCTACCAAGACAAATTTGGGTGACCCTAAATCATATTAGAACCGGCCATGGAAGATGTAATCACAAGATGTTCAAATGGAAATTACATAGGTACTACTTCTTCATGCGACTGTGGGAATAATAAGCAAACAATCTACCATATAGCCCAATCCATTAATTCAAAGGCACTTTAAATAATATCCATAAAGCTAACAAGGATGTTGTTGATTGGATACGAAATCTGGACATTAATTTATAGCCTATTTTTACAAATATATCTCAGCTATAAAAGTTACCATTTCTCATATTAATATTATTATTATTATTTTTTTTTTTTTAGTATAGTATATGTTTCTGTTGATATTTACATGTTGCTTTACTCTGTCATACGAAATATATATATATATATGTGTGTGTTTTTTTAAATAGGAAATTAGATACAATTGTTATAGATACCAAAACAGTATTTTAACCGTAAGATCCTTATCGGGAAAGAATTAAAAATACAAAACTGACCTATATTATCGAAACATCAAAGCATTTTAAGTCAATCATTTTTTATTGAAAACTTTTAAACTTTTTAACTTTTAAAAGTTTTACCTTCGGTAAACCCGAATTATTTTTATTTTTTATCTTTAAGTGAGACAATCATGAGGTTAGTTATAATTAGTTAATTATAACATATTTGTATACAATTATCAAATATTTACTATTATAAAGTAGGGCTCGGATGTTGATGCTTTAAAAAATTTTATTTGTTAATGACCTTTATACTTAAAAAAGTTAATAAAATTATTAATTGATTTTTAAATTAATAATTGCAGTTTGTAAATATCTGTAATTTGAATTAAGTTTAAATTTCAAAATTGGCTTTAATCTAGAAAATCGTTTTAAAATCTTGTATTGATTATTTTTCATAACAGTAACATAAAAATTACAAATTATATACCTACTCATGATTTTTATCTAAATTGAAACAAAATTATTATTTTTAAATGTCTTTAAACACAAAATTTACATAAAAACCAAAAAATTACAAAATAAAAATTAGTTCTGCGGAATCGTACCTATCTATTGTTGAAATACATTTTAAACTATAGGAGTGCACCATCTATGAAGTTCCAAATAATTACGCAAAACTTATTAAAATTCAGGCTCAAATTATATAACTACTAATTACTAATATTATTTTACTAGACAATAAATTCTAGTTACAATTCTACATAGTTTATTCGCATAATAAATACACAATATAATTCCTATGGTAATACAGTCATAATCGTTTTTCGAATGCTATGACGTGACGAATAAATAAGAAAATGTATGATTTTTAAAAATCTTCATATACTCGTGCATTAAAACACAGACATAAGTAATTACAGCAAAGACTGCAAAGATACTAATAAATTTACAGTGGAGATATTCGGTAAAGTAGCTGATTATCTTTGTGGGTTAGATACGTACTACCTGGAATGTACGGTTGAACTAAATAATATAAATATTATAAATTAATTTACCTTTCAAATAATATATAAAGCAACTAATGGATTACGTATATAAAATAAATAATGTTTTTATGGTTTTATATGAAAACATGGAAATTACGTGAATTGCAAATTGATTCTATTCACTATTATTGTACAATGATATAATATCATATAATTACTATCTTACACACGTTCAACAAACTATGATTTAATATATGATTTATAACTCAACGAATAATATAGCAATATAATAATGGTTTGTGGAAAAACCAATTAAACATAGAATTAATTAATTTTTTAAGTAGCTAAAAATACTGTTTACATGTGCAAAACCATGAGCTTGTATTTTATTGCATTATGTAAAGGTACCTTTACATATATTTAATAATTTCGAAAAATTTTTTTTTTATTGTATTCGGTTTTGCTGTGGATACAGGGACGCCCGCAGAAATGTAGCCCAGGAGGGGGCAAAACAAATTGTAAGTAAATATTAACTACGGGAAGATTTACCACTACAACTTTCATATGCTCGTATTTTGTATTAACTAAAAATACTATCATTAATTATGTTTTAAAAATTTAAATTAATTTAATATAAAATTACATTATCAGTTCAAATATTTATAAGAAGAAACATAATAAAGTTTAAACAAAAAACAATTTTATTTAATCAAATTTTCATCATATATAATTATTTTATTAATAATGTAATAACAATCTCCTTTTGTTAGAAGTAAATAAATTGATTGAATCATCATATTAAAAATATTTTTATCATCATACCTTCGGCGGTGAATATTAATTAACCCCATACTACTTAGGCTTTATATCAATTGCGCTGAAAATCACAGGTAAAGAAGGAAAAATCATGGGATAGAAAAAAAGGTATACATCTATTGCACCGATATAAAAAGGGTATAATTTATAGGTATACATCTATTGCGCCGATCGATATTCAAGTTAATACATTTTGCGATTACCTCATGGATACATATATTGATGAAAATGCAACTTTTCCCCCGTATCTTTGGTCATCGTGTAACATATCAGGTGAAAGAACAACAAATGACACTCGGCGTTTCGGAAATATTTTTATTCACCCCATCCAAATATTCTTGTTTTTTATGAAGTTTTAAAAATAATGTAACGCAACAATCATAATACGTGTTCTCTTTATTATCACAAATAGACCAAACTCTAAATTTATGACAAAAAAAATAAACAGTAAAATAGACAAAACTAATTTTAATATTAGACAAAGAACTTTTCAAAATGTGTAGAATTAATGTAAATACATATATATATATATATTATTATATACTATTAGTGTAAATATCAAGTATATAGAATGATAAGTTTGATTTTAATTTTAATTTTTGTTTTTTAGCCATTATGATTTTTTCTTGTACTGTATAGGTTGTTATACCAACGCAATAGATGTATACATTTAAATATACTCTTTTTTTTATACCGGCTCAATAAATGTATACTGCATAGGTAGTGTCCCAAATTCAGCGCAATTGCCGAATACCGACTACTCAGTCGTTCGTTTCCCATCCTATTTCTAATCCATGACTTTAAATGACGTAAAGTGTTAAAAAATAGTAAAAACGTTATTGTTAATTATTAATTTATACACTGAATACAATTTGTAAAAAATGTTGTAACTGATATGGAAAATATCAGAGGAGTCAAAGCCCCAACTGACCCCCCTCTCCAGGCACCCCTGTTTGAATATAGCTTGCAAAACCTATGTATGCTATAGGTATAGATATTTAGAACCGTTGAATAACATTATATTTACCATCAAATGTTTTGTATATGATTGGATAATATGCTGCTACAATTTTTCGACGTGCTAAACTGAATTAGCATACAGAATTTAATTTATGATAACTTGATTTTTACAAAACATAATGAGATAGAAATAGTAATTAGTATCACTATTAACATAAAAAAATGCAAGTGCTCAGATAGTCGCTAATTTTTAGTACGCGTGTAATTTATAAAATGTTTGACAGATAACACCGAATGAACAACACCACTTTGGCATTGACTGCATAACGTTGAATTTGAAAAAAATACAAGCATATCGAAAAAGTGTAGAAATACCAGCCATTCCGTTGAGTCGGTTGGTTGGCAACCAACCAGGAGAATATTTCACGTATTTGGGCAAAGCAATAAAACTCAACGGCGACTTTGGTATATCACAGTGGATTGTATTTACCGAAGCACTTGACGTGAGCAGCGAACAGGTACATGTTTCTAAATTAAGTTTTCTTAAAACACATTTGATAGTATGTACTGATAATAATACATTTATCTGCAAGTAAAAATGTAGAACTTTACAACGGTACCATACCACTCCGATAGCGCCAAACCGATAAATGCATCAAGTGGAGTAGGCAGCTTTATCTTTTACATAAGGGTATATGGTATACCATACATGGAATGGGTATCCAGAAAGTGTGTAGTACCTAGAGGATCATTTAAAGTTTTTAAGTTAGGTATAGTTAGAGTTAACTTATATATTATTATAACCTTAGTTTTCGCTCCACCGAAACGTTTAGAGTTCGGTGCCACCGATTAACAATGTATACGGTTTAATTCAGTCGAATTCCAATTACTAGAGTCGAAATCAAGAAAAAATATTCGAGTTGATTGTATTTAAATAAAATGACATAAAATTAAAATGGGCCTGGAGTGTAATTGTACGCGTTATCGCCGAGACTCGGCTGTGTATGATCAGCGCACTGGGTCGATGCACTTTGCGCGAATAATTGTACAAAAAATTATCATCGAAAATCATGGTAGGCTATGAATAAAACCCATTTTTTGAAGAAATTGTTTTTTTCCCCCGCATTTATAAATATAAAAGTGTTGAACTCGATTTTAGCACGTCGACATTTTTCTACAGTAGAGGCAGGTACATCGCGTATTATAATCAAGCCAATCAGTTCCCAAGACTCGTGTACGTAGATAAATACTCGTCACTGGGCCGTGTGCCTCGCCACTCGTTACTCGCCACTTCACCACGGATCGTGGGTACAGTTAACACGAGTTAAAAGAAATTCCATTTCCAAAATAAATATACGTCGATCAACATAGGCGCAATTAGAGTAAAAAAATTGGGAGGGCTTTAATCCCTCACATAAATTTTTCAATCACTGCCTCTCAGAAGCTTTTTTTCCACCTTTTACCCTCTATAAAAAATGTGTTTATTGAAAAGTAAGTAAAATTTAAAAATAAATAATAAAACAATAATTCGCTTTTAAGTATAGATAACACATTTAATATAGTTTTTTACATTTATATTCTTATTTTTCTATTTTTTTTTTTAGCAAATGTATTTAAAATAATTTCGGTGTCAACAATAATATCTCTCTCATTATTAAGTATTGCAAATTTCGAAAACCGTTCCTGTGACATTGTAGACCTGAGATAATTATTAATTCTTCTTATTGCAGAAAATGACCGTTCGCAAGTAGCCGAACTGACCGGAAGAGTGATAGCCAATTAAATAATTTTAAAAAGATTTGGAAACGTATCTTTAGATATTTTTTCTTTGATGGTTAAATAGTTAGGAACTCCTTTTATCATATTTTTCAAAACATAATTATATTCTGAGGTGCGCTATAATAAACACGGTCTAGACTCTAGAAATAAAAGACATATTATTTAAGACCATGATTATAATATTGTTACTAAAAAAAGAATAACAAAAATGTATTTTATTCGTTTTTTCAGTAGTAATCACATATATTTTTTATTTATCAATATAATAATATAAAGTTCTGTATATTTTTTGGGGGGCTTTGAATGTTTTTAAGGGGGCTTAGCCCCTCCACCCCCTCCCCTAATTGCGCCTATGTCGATCGACCTCCACCATGCGACCGTTTTTCGCCGCCAGTTTTCGAATATCGAAACAATGTTGTCCTTTCGTTTAATGATCGAATCTCAAATCAGTCATTTCGACGCATGTCGATCGCGATGAACTGTATGCGCCAGACGAATGATTGCATCTGATCCCGTATCCTGATATAAAATGCCATTGAAGTTCAACACTATTTTAGTCTTCGAAAACCGAGTTCATCTATAAAATTAATTTAAAAATCAAAGCCCACTCTGACCCGATACACTCATGATAAAAATGCTGCCCTGCCCGGCTCAAGCCACGGCTGTACCAGCCCGGTTCATACAGGGCTCTAATAGGGTACCAAATAAACCGCATATCCGCCCCTTGCAAACAATCTTGTCACCGCGCCCACTACTCGCCCCGTTGGGCACGTAGACCGACGACTGTTTGGGTGTTCACGTGAACCCGGCGGGGCCGTCGGTTTTCATAAGACAAACGTAAGAACGGTGTAAAGAACGGAATAATTCGTATTTTTATTATTGTTGTTGTTGTGAATCACAACGAACGCGCAGTTGAGAGAGTTCCGGTGCGTGACGAACGAACGCGGACGTTTGATCAGAAGCAACTGCCGGGCGGCCAGTGTAGCGGCCGCCAACCACGCTCCTTACCTGGTGCCGTCGACGCGCGGTCCGGACGTCGCGGCCGCCGGCCACACTCCTTACCAGGTGCCGGCGACGCGCGATCCGGTCGGTGGCGGGACGTGGCCGGAGGCGCGTGCCGCCGTTCCGTTCCGCGGCAGTTCCTCGAGCTGCCGGTTCAAGATTAACAAGGCACACGTGTTGAGACGCGAGTTCGTCAAGAACAGGATCACGCACACGCGCAACGGCGCTGTGGTCACCGTGCCCGCCGTCGAGCCGATTTCGAGCAGCCACGTCATCGAAAACCACGAAGAATGGATGTTCAACAAACCGCCGTGGAAATAGTGCATACGTCCGCGGACTGCGCACCGGCTGTGTTCGAAATTAATATTGTAACACACGTATATACCGATGTAAATGTTTGTATTTACTTCGACGTGAATAACCGCATTCTTAACGTGACGGTTCGATACCCATTCGAAGGGCAGCGGAGAGAAATCAAGCCCCTGCCCCCCTGGGGGGGGGACAAACAATTAATCCAGATCATTCTCGCACGAGGTATTAAACTTGGCCGCTGACATCCAGTGTCTTCTTTTAAAATGTGTACACCAAAGAGATAATGTCATGGTTATTCCACGGACTAAATGAAAATAATTATTTATAGCCTATGGGTCTTTCTTGAAAATGTTATTTGTCTACGTTTTAGATCAATATTGTTGTGTTTTCACTTTGTTGTAGACTCGTTATACAACATACGCTATAATAATTTGGGTAGGTCATCAGCACGATTCATGTTGATGATCCATAAGTAGCTCGACACCATGACCGAGACGTAGTGAACTTGGTCAGGCCCCGGGCCTCTGGGCTACAGCCAGAATTCTCTACGGTATAGCTGGACTATCTATACCAACGGTTATCAAACTGAGAGAAGTGTAGGGGCTCCGTGTAGGGCAGTCGTAAAGCTCCTACACGAGAATAGCAGGTAAACAATAACATACATAAGTCCCTACACCAGGGGTCTTCAACCCCCGGCCCGTCTTGTCAAGATATGCGGCCCGCAATCACATTTTAAATTTAGCATTTACATTTTCTAGTTCAATAAAATTATAACAGTTAAGCTATCGCTATCAGAAATATGTAATAATATAAATTTAATTACCTACCAATATATAATTATTATTGTCTGTTGGTTCGTAATCGATTGTGGAACGAGCACAATATTCTCCTTTATGTGTAAAAATTTCAATTTCATACTTTTTCTTCGTAATATTTATACAATATGTCGGTGAGTAAAAAACGTAAAATCTCGGATGAAAAACACATTTTTCAAGAAAAATGATCCAATAGCAATTTTTTTAAATTATTAAATTTACTAATTTGTAATTTTAAATGTACCTACCTAATTTTAAAAATTGTAAGAATAAAACGGAATTTTTATATATAATACATGTTTTTACAACGAATGCAACCCGCAAGATTTAAAAAAAAATAATATGTGGCCCTCTGCATAAAAAGGTTGAAGACCCCTGCCCTACACGGAAATTTGTAAGTTTCTATATGGTAAAAATCAGATACGTATGTTAGTTCCTACACGGCGGAAAAAGGTACATATGTATAAAATAAATTTACACAATAAATGTATTTTAATTTTCAAAAATAAATATATGTTGATTAAAAAGTATAATAAAAATCGTAACGCGCATTTTCACAAATAAATATAATATGATGATTAAAATCGCATATATAGCGCATGTAAGGTTAAGTAATAGCGCGTAGAAATTTCATCAAAACGATTTTTATATAATATATAGATTATATATCAATATATAATGTATATTGGCTAACTAATATACATTCAAATTAATATAATTTAAAGCAAAACGTATACGAAATTACGGGAAAAAATACGACAAGCTATATAAGCTGATAATAGTATCCTGGCTCGACGTAGAGCGAAAGATAAAATATCTTATTAGGTATCTATATTGTTTGACATACAAAATATTTACGACTTTTCATTACGGATAAAAATGATATAGAACTTGATTTTAATTTGATAACCTTATAATTAGTTATAACTAAAAAGCGGATTTTTAAGTTCTTAAAAGCTTAAAATATGATGCTAATAGGTTTTAAAAAAAACCCTAAAATAATCTCTAAATGTTCCTTAAACTTGTTAATTTTTTGTTAAATTATTTAAATAGATATAAAAATTTAATACAGTTTATACATAGGAGAATAAATATAACAAAATTATATATAAAAAACAAAATAGTTAAATAAAAACAACTTGTATGCACCATTCCTTGGCAAAAGATAAATTATTTAAATGGAAAAATGGATAACAGTTCCATACATAGGAATATAAATATAATAATCAAATTTTTTTTTCCTAAAAAAATCACAACTCGAGAAATTAATAAAATATGCTTTTTTATGAATAATAATTGAAATAATATTCAAAATAATAATATATATAATAATATTCAAAAATATGAAAAATAGGCTAAATATTCTCTCATGTCCAAAATATGCTAAAATATACAAAATAAATGTTTTCCTACGAACTCTATGATGGATAAATCGTCCACATTTTTCACCCTAGTAAATCTGCATAAAGCCAATAAAAATGTGTAAAAACCTAAAGATCCGCTCACTAGTTATAACTACACACAGTGTATATATTCATATGTACTTTTTTCCGCCGTGCAAGAACTAACATACGTACCTTTTTCTATCGTATGGGAACTAACGTATGTATTTTTTGTACCTGCTACTCTCGTGTAGGAAATTACATTTGCCTCTCAGTGGGCATATCTAAATTTATTAGATTTAAATATTATTGTATTTCTTAGTTATCGAGGAATGACACTGGTATGATTACTTAAATTACGCAACGGGTTGTATGTTTTAGTGACACCCATTTAATTTACAACTCGGACTTCTGATAAAATTTGGTTATTCTGACTTCAATACTTGTCCGGTATTTTCACAAAATAAAATTTTAAATTAAATTTATCAGTACAACGTAAAATGACCACAGTTTTTACAACAAATGACAAAATCCGAACTACTAAAAAAAAAAAAATTAAATTTTTGGCTGTGTTTTTCTTATTACGAAATATTGTTAATTATTGTTGTTTTGAATATAAATTCCTGATTTTCGAGACTCCGCAAATTTTTTCGTGAACAAAAAAGTTGGAGAAGCACTGATCTAGACTATCTTTGAACTAGATACTCCAAAGTTCCCTGGTAAATATTTACAGCACCCTATTGCGGGACTCCGAGGGCTTGTCAATCTAGTAAAATCAAATGAGAAACACAATGATGTTTATTACTTAAATATAGTGAATTAAACGTATACACCTGATTATTGGACCACAGCGTTGAGTAATGATGGTCCGGACAACAGGCGGAGATACCGTGCATGACGTACTCGATATTGTTCGGAATATAAGTTACTAGCGCTAAAATGGTAATTTGTCAACTGTTGTTGTACGCAGGGCGGTATTTAAAAAGGGGGCACTGGTTACAACTGCCCGGGTGCCAAAATGTTGTGGTGGGAAATTTGCTCACTTGTGAATTATTAAACATTAAAATTATTTTGAAATTATTATTTTTTTGTTTTTAATAACAGTATCATAAATTAATTTTAATGTATTTAATTTATTAATATATATTATTAATGTATTTATAGCAATATAGCTATCAGCGATCCAGAATATTATTAATATACCTAATATTAGTTCCCAAATTTGTTATGATAATGTCAATAAACATAAGTTATTTATAATAATACGGTGTATTATGGTATCGCGTGTGGCGTACGGTGGCATGCCTATGTAACACCTACTACAAAAAAATAGCATTGATCTTAGAACATCTAAAAGGTTCATGAGGATCTATCTCCTATATTTTCCGTCGGCAGGCCTCTCAGAAGGGTGCCAATTTTTTTTTTTGGAGCGAAAAATGTCTAAATACGGCACTGTCTATATACGCGTTATAATTAACCGTTGACATCGTCAGCTATATACCCCGTCGTACAATAATATACTCGACATCAAGGCGCCCATATGGGGGGGGCAAGGGAGGAACATGTCCCTCCCTCTGGAAAAATGTAAAAAATCTTGGAAAATTGTTTAATATGATAAAAAAATATTTATTGAATTTGAAAAATCAGGTTATCAGCTATAAATAACAATACGCTTTTTCATTTTTATTCTATGGACAATTATCAATTCTTAAAATATTGTGTATTTCCAGAAATACGGTATGTATATGTGTGTGTATACACAACCATAATATTTATAATATATTTGTAAATTAATATTTTAATAAATATAACTAATGTTTTAAGTGTCCAATTTATATAATTAATTAAATAAAAATTTCAATAAATTACTTTTATTGTAAATTGGTTAAATAATTATTATTTTATAGTCTTCCAGTTTGACATATACAATGTAATAGTATAATGTAAAATTGTAAACCTCTTCCTATATCGTGGGTCATTCCTATTTATGAATAGATTGATAAATTAAAATGTTGTCCCCCCCCCTTGAGAATTTTCCTATGGGTGCCCTTGCTCGACATACGAGTCGATTTGACTGAAAATCGGAGAAATGTTAGTGTTCGCATAAAGCAGTCGTAACATTATTCTATACGTATTCCAAGTCACAAAAGGCCATCCGGTACTTGGATCGAACTAAATGGTACTGGAATTTTGGAGTATATTAACGCGAGTAAGATGAATTCTAGGATAACAGGTACTACAGGCCAGATCAAAAGGTTCAAACTTTTGTAAATGTACATAATCATGTATTCGTAGCTACATCGCATTAAAATTTTTTCTTTTCGCTGTTGTTTTATTCGTATTATTTTGTACCACCCATATGGGTTATTTATGTCGCAGTCAATTTTACTTATTAATATTTATTATAATCATTAAAAAATTGTGCTGTAAAAATACCATTTAAACTGAATATATAGATATTAGGTACCTAGTATCTAGTCAAATATTATAACAAAATAAACTTACGATTAATTAATAAATTAATTTGAAATTTTATTTCTAATCTTTACTTTCACTTTATTTTTACATGTTTTTTATCTTTTTTGTTTATATGTTTAACATATTTTATTTTAAAAAATTATAAATTTACTCGTATTGTTTGTTCATAATTTTTAAATTTTGTTTTCTGTTTTTATTTTAATAACTTATTTATGATATGAATAATTTTATACTTACTATCCCCTGTCACAAAACATAACTTATTGGGGAGGTATCATCTGTAGTATTTTGTAAAATTATCCTATAAATTTTGTTGTTATTGACAAATAAATCAATTATAATTATAAATAATCAATTAATATTAAATATAGAAATATATTTATTATGACTTATATTTCTTTATTTATTAGAAAAAGGGGCATATTATACCTTGCTGTTGAGCACACCAAAATATATTATATTGCTTGTCAACGTATTATGCCTGTTGATTGAATTCACGAGTTGTCATGTCTCATACTTTGTTTTTGGTTACAAAATTTGTGTTTAAATTGAAACAATTATTTTTTTAAAAATCAATTTTAAAAAAATAGTATGTTTTATAAAGATAGCTTAACAATAAACAATAATACAATCTTTAGATTTAAATGTTTAAATTGACTCGTTTCAGATTTTTTAAAGTAATAATGTTTAAATATATATTGCCTACATTTTAACTAAATAGAGCAGCGTTGCCCAATCTATGAGTTGCCAACATCGGGTGGCAAAATATTTTTGATACATAGTTGTTCATAAACTGTTGACAAGAAAAATAACTTAGTTATCAAAATATAATTATATTAACCAGAATTAAGTTTTACTGTATTATATTAAAATATATGATAAAATTCCTTATAATAAAATGGTTAGTCTTATTACATTTAAGCAAGGCTGAGCAAGTTAATAATATTTTTTAACTCAGTTAAATTAAGTTATTTGAGTTTATTTTCAATTAAATTAAAAATTAAGTTAAAAAATATCCTTAACTTAACTTAAATTAATAAGTAAATATTTAAATTAAGCACTGATATAAGATATATATATATATATAGTAACAATTTACAACAGTTCTTATTTAACATTAACGATAATGAAAACACAAAAAAATCTTATTAGACTCGAATTATAGTAGAAAAATATACATTTCTTTATTGGGATTGATTTTAGACACTTATAAGTCAAATTTATGGTAATTTATGTATTGTTTGTTTTTATTCATTTTTCATACAAATCACATATGATAAATATAATTTCCAAAAACATTCTTTTTAATGATCAATAAAAGTATGAAAACTAAAAATAATTACTGCAGCTGAAAGTGTAACTATAAAACTATACAGCAATAAATCTATACAGTTAATACAAAACATTAAAATAAATATATAATATTATTTAATTTTAATAAAATCTAAATAAATAAAACAATACAATAGACAGGTTAATCAAAATACCAATTGAATCTCAATAAAAGTCATCTCAAAATGTTGATCAGCTATTACATTTCTTTTCTTATTCAATAATATTTAATAATATCATAGATTATGGAATAATTCTAATAATAATAGAGTACAATTATTATTAAGAATTATTTAGTCAATAATAATATGTATCCATTTTTATAATATAGAATTATAGCCATTTTTCATGACAATGATAATGTAATTCATGGGTGGTATGGCTAATTTTACTCTAATTTTTTTCTGAAGATGGTTGAGTACTTTTCCCGAGACCAGTGGGACCTCAATTAATAGTTAATACTGAGATAAATATTATGGTCTCATCTAAAAATTCTGCGAAATTTTTATTTTTATATTATTCTAAATTTCATGAATTTGTTATTGAATGCGGTATTTTACAAAAATATTTTTCTGGTCTTAAAAATCAAAATTAACTTAACTGGATTAAACGAAGAAATAATAAATTAATTTTAAGTTAATTTGTAAGGTAATGAGTTAAGTTAATTTATCAGTAATAAAATAATTTTAAGTTACTAAGTTAAATCAACTTAACTTTTAACTTATTAACACGTTAATGCCCAGGCTTGCATTTAAGTGTAAAGTGTACTAGATTTTTTTTTTTTTTTTGAAGATTATCTACACAACACAATGGACATTTTTGGGCCACCTTAGCATAAATGTTGAAATTCACTGAACTTAAGGATATTTAGTCTTTATTTTGTATCTATATTTAAATGTAAAGCTTTCCACTTATGTACAAAATTACATTTTTAACCTAATTAGTAGTATAAAAAAATTTCATTCTTAAATTACAGAAAACAATATAGTTTATTTAAATTTAAAAATATTCAATAATATTTCTAATTATTCACATGTTCTATTTACAACCAGGAACCTCATAACATTAAATGTATTTTTCATCATCACTTAGAATATCATCATCATCATCATCAACACCATCTTCGTCATATACTTTTGTATCTCGATAACTACTCGTGTTGAATTTTAAATTTGTTCGTGCTTTGTTTAATTCCTTAAAATTTACAAATATATTTAAACAAAATACAAAACTGATTTAATTATTACAAAATATACCTTCAATTTATTTTCATGCATAAATTCCAACATAAAAGACTCTTTATAGCTTAACATTCTACTTGTAGGAAAACTATATTTGTCAATACGATTACATAAATTATTAGCATAACGTTCTACATTGCGCTCAAGGAATTCATTAAAATTGTATTCTTGTATATCTTTAGCGGGTGATTTCACTTCAATTAAATCTGACGGTTTGATTAATGGTTCTTCAGGTTTCTCTCTATAAAAAATCAAATTAGAAACTTGTAAAAAAAGGTAAAAAGGTTAAAATGTATACTTGATAATAATTTTATCCTGATTGACTCCTGAATGTGAAACAAACATTTTCAGTATATCTTTATCTTCATCATTGACATCAGGCTGACTGTAATTCGACGTCTCACTTGGAACATGTTTACCAGTCCATTCAAGAGTATCCAACTGATTTATTCCAATATTCAAGGCCACCATGTCTTCACACAACTGTTCAGCATTTACACGTTTGTTCAGCTCTTCTTTTATTTGAGACTGGAAACTTTTTAACTTTTCACCTTTGTCAGGCAATGCTTCAACGAATCGACTAAATAAAAGTTGGTTAATGTTAATATCACACTGTCAACGTCAAATGGATAGTTAAATTTCAGCGACCAACACTTCTCATAAGAAATTAGAAAATACATACTTGTTGTTAAGAAGTTTGTTTTGCCGCACTAACAACTCCTGCAGTTCTGCGTACGTTTTACATTTCAAACGCACTTTATTCTCATTGTCATTTTTCACTCTTGTAATGAACATAGTGCACGCTGAACGACTTGAACGTAAAATGAAACGATAAAATAGTAGACTTCAGAAATCTCGACGACAGTTTTTACCGTACGTTGTAGTTCGCCGACAACTGTTTGATAAATCGCCGCTCTGATATAAGAGCAACTGATAAGACGAGTGAAATTAATGATACAAGAAAACACGAAATCGACGTTCGTGTGTCCGAATTGTTGAGATGGTTTGATGCGGATAATCGATGGACGAAGACGTTCGTAGATTCAATTAAATCATTTTACGTCAATGTTACTGCATTTCATCAAACACTTACCTCACTTACAGTTCAAGCGTCGTCCGGTTGAATAAAAAAGAAAAAAATCGTTTCAGTGTCGGGGTAACCGTAAAGAATATTAACACGAAAACAAATGTACAATAAATTATTCGTATTAATATATAAAACGTAATCGGTATCAACAAACTTCAATTACTTAGAAACAAAATTAAAAGTGGACCAACACGTAAATAGGTACAGTTAATTTTTTTCTATATAAACAGCTATTATTCTATGTCCAAAAACAGTCAAATCAATATCTGATAGTTATGGTAAACTGTAATTTTTTTTTCAGTAGCACCACAGATTATATGAATATAATATATAATATATTCATATGATCTATGGTAACAGTAGCAGATGCTACAGCTACTGAAAAAATAACAGTGAAAGTATCAGTGACTGCTATTTATCAATAATTTTTATTTTAGAATCACTATATTAAATAACTGCTACTTGTCAGATATTGTTATTTTAAATAACTGCTACTTGTCAGGTATTGTTATTCTAAATAACTTACTTTTCAGATATTGTTGTTTCAAGTAACTCCTACTGAAAAATTGTGAATGCTACCATATGACGCATAAATTAAACTAATAAAATTACTATAAGCAGTTATATAGATATAGAATTTTTTTATTGTGGGTGCTACTTTTTTAATAATAATAGTCTTAATGTACTTATTGTGTATAATTTGGGGTGAGAAAAAATCTATTTTATAATCAATGATAATATCTAGAGCTGGGTCGATACTGATAACCGATATAGTAGCAGTAGCAGTTAAAATAAGTAGCAATAACAGAAAATATGTATTATATTTAAAATGTTACCAACTAATAATTTATAATAGAAACAAAAGTAGCAGTCACTTTTATTTTCAGACTGGAGTAGCAGACTGTGATTGTTACTTTAAAATCACTTGTGAAAAATCACTGCTATTGCTATTTTATCTCATCACTAGGGCCCGGATTTCAATGCAAAGTGCATATTTTTTTGGTTGATCATACCCAATGTTTCCTAAGAACATAATTTGTTTCAAAACTATAAATTTTATTTTGCATTTTTTTTGCATTTTTCGACATTTTTTTTATTTTTAGACCATTTTTAGTATTATTGAATTATTTTGTTGGTTTTTAATGCATATTTTTTCAGTATACTAAACAAATTTAGCCTATTCAAAATAAAATCAAAAGACAAATTATTTTCTTGATATTTAAGTAGGTTTATCAGGTTTTTCTATACACATTGTCAATCTTTATTTTTTGATTCACTTTTTATCTTATCTTAATGTATTATTGACTATGGAACGTTACCAGTATTCGATAAAATAACAAATAATCCGTCAGTCTGCATTATATCACAGATGTTACTCGTATTACGTGTGTTTGTGATTTTAATGTATTAAATAGTGTATTAATTTATGCCCAAAATAAAAAAAAAATTATATAATTTTTTAATTTTTAATATAATTTTTGTGGTAAAATGCATTTTTTAAGGACATTTTTTGTTATTTTTTTTAAAGCATATTTGTATGGTTTTAAGTTCATTTAAAGGCCTGGGCCCTACTCATCACTAGTGCCTAACCAACTCATGATCGGGCTTCTGGTACAGTAATTTTTTAAAACTTAATTTTGTTTTACAACATAAAATAACAACTGTCTATTAATTGTATCAGATAAAATCATACAACTTGAGTGAAATATTTTTTCTTTTTTTAATTGCATGAAAGCTATTTATTTAAGTGCATATAATTATTTTTCTAATTTTCTGTATTGATTATGGGTGCTCAATGTTGGAAGTATCCAAGAGCTCCCAGCAATCGAGTGATGGATCAAATTAATACTGGGTTAAATAGAATATAAGTATTATAGACTATGATCCAACTAATAAATTGTTATAAACAAAAAAATGTATTTATTTATTTATGTAATAAACAAAATGTTATCATTGATAACAGGTTTTTTTTTTTTTATAAGAATTCAATTTTTTTAATTTTAATTTTGACATATCGTCGATGCACTTAAATAGTGACATAACTCAAAAATTGAAATTTTCAAGATTTGTATGAAAATGCATGGCAAATTACCAATATTTTTCTATGCAAGATGACATTTTTATTATTTTCAAAAATCGCCGCTAGATTACTGTAGTGTCGTTATCTTATTCTTATCGCATAATCGCTTATCTGTAATCATGAATAGTGGCTCAAATCCATAAAGTAATTACTCTAAGCACAGATCTAGTTTAATTTCTTATTCTTTTTTTTGCTATTAAAATAAACTTTATATTATTGCGATGCAAGGTAAACAAAAAAAAAAAAAACTTATTTAAACAACCCAAGCTTGTGATGTGTTATACAAGAAACAAGAAATCTTTAAACCGCTGTACTAGAAAATTTACTTTTTTGAGTTGTATCACAGTTCTTGTGCACCAACGATATTATCTAAGTAGAATGTAGGTACTATATTTTTACTAATTTTTTTTTTTTAATTTAATTCAATTTTTTTTTATAGTGGCGATTAAATTTGCAAAACCGTAAATTACCTCTACAGAATTTATTAAGCATACCGTAGACCATCACGTCATGATGAATCGGAACAATTATACTCGTGTTCGATATGGTGTTAAATGTGTTTTAAAAACGTGTAAGAACAAAATGTCAGAAAATCGTAGTATAAGTTATTTTTCATTTCCTGTACAAGATCCAATCAAATGTGCAAAATGGATTGAGAGCTGTGGTCTATCAATTCCACTCGATGTTGTTTTAAATAAACATTACAGGGTTTGTGGTGAACATTTTGAGAAAAATATGTTTTTGAATGATCTTCAAAATAGACTTCAACCACATGCTATTCCTGTATTGAATACTGAATTGAATGATGGCAATAAGCAAGTATGCCCTTCAACTAAAAATGTACAGGAACATGAAGTAAATAAAAATAAAAAAAAAATTACAACTACAAAGAATCCCCCTTGCTCTACCCAAACCCTTGCTGTTAACAAAAACAAAAGAAAATTAAACATGTCTGATTCAAATAAAATTGATAAATGTCCTTCATCATTTGCGAAGCATGGTAACAAGGGTTATAAAAATCGAAGGAAATTTATTGCTATCCCTAAAAATGTCTTTGAAAAAATTGCTGACAAAATTAAAAATAGTGTTCCCAATATTGTAATTAGTCAGCTTCATAATGATTTTCATTGCAATGATGTTGAAAAGAAAAATCTTGATGTTCAAAAGAATGTTAACAAAACCGAGGTTGGATCCCATAAATCCCAACTACAAATTGATACTCCAATTTCTGAGACTCAGAGGAAAAAAAAACCAGAAACTGTTATTAAAAATGCAATGAGTATGGAATCAAGTTGGAATGTGTTAAGGGAACACAATTATTTTAATAATCGTGGACAAAAAAACAAACGATGGTCTTATGAAAAATATGAATCTTTATTATCTTCTGAAAAAAAAAATGATGATGCTTTACCAGAATGGTATAAAATCGATAGTGACGATGAAGATGCAAATAGTGATACTGAAATAAAATCTCTTGCCCAGTTATTGAGATTAGAATATGAAAAAGATTTACCGTTTTAAAATCAGAATATTAAATATTTTAATATTATTTTATTGCCATAATTTTCTATTGAGCCTGCTTTGTCTATTTGGTGGAACTATTCTTCCATCATCTCAAAAAAGCTACTACCTACATGAAATATTATGGTTTGTATATTATGGAATATAACTATTATAAAAGTCAAAATGGAAAGAACTTATTGTAAGTTATTATAACTATATTGTAATTTATTGTAACTTATTGTAATTACTTATTATTTCCTATTTTAACATTGAATATAAAATTAAGTTTACTCTACTATTATTTTATATTATGTCCATTTAATTTGTATTTCATCTGATTGTTTACTAATTTTAATTTTAATTTTGTTGTTTTATTTAAATTAAAAAAATGTGTATTTAACATTGTCAGTCTGACGATTAATTAATTACCTTAGAAGTATCAAAACAAATTATTATTTTTATTTACTCAAATGTAAATTATAATCATCAATTTTCATAATAATCAATGAATATTTCAAGTATTTATCTGAAAAATCAGGAAATTTCAAACAGTTTTCAAAATTAGGTAAATGAATCCTCCATGTATAGAATAGTGAAATTGTATTCAAATATATTGGAAAATTTCTATATCCTTGGTACACATAGTATTTTTTTATAATCAAGCCATAGTTCAATTATTGATTTTATGAATAATAATTTTGTGGTTTAGGATTAATAATTAAAAACTATTTACTGCAAAAATACTTTTACTTATTTTTATTATTTGTGCAATTCATCACAATATATCTATATTTACAAAGTTATACATTTTTTTAATGAAATAAAAGTATAATAATAAATGTTTATTTGCTTTAATTGGTTATTTTAAATTTTGAACAGAAATATTCACATATCAGAACAGCTCCACTTGTATGCTTCGTCCTCCAGAGCTTTTTGAGAATTTTGCTGCAAAAGCCATTTTTCTTCATAACCATTTGATCTATTCACTCCATCCCATCTTGATCCAGGGCGAATACCAAATCTATTTGGTGGACAAAATCCTCGAAACTCTCTAACTTCTAAAAAGTAAAAAAAAAAATCTTATTAAATTTGAAATTAAATTTATAAAAACTAACAAAATTAAAGAATTTTATATTTAATCTACTTTTACCATTTACTAGATTATATAATATAATATTATATGACAATGCATAAATTAGTGAATTAATTTAATGAGAATTGCAAATACTTAGTGATCAAAACAAAATAATTTAAAAATAACAATTTCATAAATTTAAATCAAAAGAAAAATTGATTTGATTAAAATATTACATGAAGTTCATTTTTTCAAAATATAAGTTTAAGAATAAAAATAAAATACAAACTCACCATGTCTTACACCATCAGGAGACTCACTACCTTCACTTTTATTTTTTGTAATATACTCAAGCATTGGATCACCATCTCTTATTTTAGATTTCAACAAATTTTCTAAATCTTGATCATCAGCATATCTAGCTAATGGTTTTTGCATTTCATGTAAATCTGACTCATACTGATCTTGAGCATCTTTAACCTGTTTTATTCTAAAAAAATCAAACAAAATTGTATACTTTGTATAACAGAGAATGATAATTTGCTTCACTTAAATCAGCGTCTAGCTAACATTATTTTAAAACTCAAATAATGAATTCATTAAATTTAAAACATAAATTGATAATTATCTTTTATTTTAGTTATAACCACAACAAAGTTATTGACTCAACTACAAACAAATTAATGTGTAACTGTTACAAATAAAAATTTAACAAATAATAAATATCTATTATGTTTACTAATATGATATAATACTAGCAATTATGTATGCATACCCTTTTCCCCATACAGCATATTTTTCTTTATGTTTTCTTAGTACTTCTTCCTCTTCTTCTTTGTCTTTTTTTTCTTGTTTGAGATCTCGCTTTTTACCTGTTTTTCGGTCACGTCTTATAGGTATACCATTTTCCAATAATTCTTCTTTGGTCTATAAAACAAATGACACCAATATTAATATTTCATGTTTAAAATGATAATTATAAAAATTAAAATTGTATTTTTATTTAATTAGATAAAGTAGAAATGTAACTTTAATTATTATATATTTAATACAAATTTATTACAGTGGGTTACTTTTAATGTAAATACCGGTGAATATGGGCATCTGTGTAATATGGCCAAAATAGTCTGGTCTCAAATCCAATGTATACTAACAAGATTAAAAAATTCCGCATAATATGGGCAGTTAGTTCGGTTTATATGGGCAATATTTATTTAATCATAAACACATATGTATTTAAAAATGACTAGTATAATTGAGTATTGTTGTATCTATGAGATTGTGTTAATCAAAAGTAATAAAAAGCATAACCATTTAAACCTTGATGGGATTTTGTTAACTAGATAAAAGAGAAGTGATATAATAAAGCAATAGACAACACAAGCTCTTCTATAACTCGATAACAATCATTTCAGTTTTAACATAAATTTCAAAGTGACATTATGCCTCAAAAAAATCTCTTCCTAAAAGAAAAAAAATTACGATTTTATTTAAGTGAAGTCTCTTCCTCCAGGCACTTTATAACCTTTAAATTTCAAAACAAAACTTAAACTTAAAATTAATCAAACTGGCAATCAAAAACTTATTCACACTAAGCAGCTTAGAAAACGAACAATTATATTTTGTACACCTTCCACGCCCAAATAGTAATTTAATTTAGTGTTATTTATGTAGTAATTTTTATTTTTTAATTTTATATTTTATAATTAGGTATACATAATATATACAATGTAGTATAATAAGCATATATAATATTATAAAATAACAATATGATTTTTTTTTTTTTTAATTAAGAAATCACCTATTGGTGATATTAGACAGTGTAGTAATTTAATTTTTTTTTTTAAATTGTGTGAACGCGTTTAAAATAAAAAATTTTTTTTTTTTGATATTCTAAATTTTTGTATTTTGAACTAATTTTGGTAATCATAAGCAACCGTTTAATGTGGGCAAACAGAGGTGATCCCAACATGCCTACATTAAGTGGAATGTACTTTATTCAAATGTTAATAACATAAAAAAAATATATTCATTCTTTAAACAGAAATTACAAAGCATTTGAGTTATTGAGTTGATGAAGTCTCAAATATACAACTATATTTAATTTATAAAAATTCAATATAATTTACAAAGAAAATAGTTGAATAAGATAAAATTGTGTACTGTTATACATTTATAAGTTTTAAGCACATAAAATGTTATAATACTAATTTTTAAATTTCTGTGAAGTTTTGCAGTGACTTGAATTTAAATTTGTCTTTAATGGAGCTAAGTGTTTAAAACATGGAAAGAAAAATATTCCAAATGCTATATACTGTAATTAAGACAATGATTGTTACCTCTTTTAATAAATCATTCAAAGTAGATTTATTAATTTGTTCAACATATTGTTTAACTTGATCAACATTGATACTAGTAATATCCTCCTCTTCAAGATCACTATCATTACCAACTCTTTTCCATCGGTTTTTATTTTTGTACATATCCAAAGTTTTAACATCTTTAGGTCTTTCATCAACAACACCAACTATTTGAGGAGCAAATTCATCAGCTGGATTAATTCCATCCATACCAATATCAAAGGTGTTATTTTCAACACAATCAATATTGTCATCGATGATTTGTACTCTGTAAAATTTATAAACCATAAAATTTTAAAATGCAACAATATCTACTGAATGAAAATCAAATAACTATAGACCAGTCTTGTAAAGTATTTGAGTAAATGTATTTGAAAATCAAATACTTTTATACAAATACTTTTGAAACTTCAGTTGTCAGTCATCATATTTTTTTTTTTTTAAATTATTATACTATTTTATATTTTTTCACTCATTAATGTTGAGAACCCCTATAGCTGAAACTCTTCATTTGACTTCCATATTGAAGAAAGTACTCCACTGCCGTCTAGTGCTCCAGTTGAATATTTAGCGTTGGGGGAGCTATTTTATCAAGAGAAAGAGGAAAATGAATGATGAACACTTTGAAAAAAACTATGTTACTAAAGTGCAACAAACATTTTTGAGAATGATTTGTTTTAAATGCTCTGTATATCTTCATCAACAATTATTTTATTACTTTATATTAAAGAATTACTATGGATAGTAATTATAAAACAAGTTTTATTTATTTTCATTTTTCAGTATAATATATTTAAGAAAGTGGTACAAAAAACTTTTAAAAATACTTAGTTGAATGTAACATGATAGTATTTTAAAATTAGTTATTACAAAATTAATTTGGCTTACCGACTAGTAGAAAAGAAAGATAAAAAAGTATTTAGAAACTATTTAAATATATAATAGGAATTTGTATTTGTTCTTAAATACTTTTTCCTGAAAGTATTTGAAATGTATTTTAAATACATTCTGAATGGATGTATTTGTATCTGTATTTAAATATAATTTTAAAAGTATTTCTTTACAACATTGCTATAGACAATGTTGTTATTTCAATATATTGGTAGAGATACCTTTTTACAATTTTTGTCTTCTCCTTTTTTTTCTTTCCGCCAGACAGATATTTTTTCAAATAGTCTTTTTGTGATAAAATCTTCTTTTTCTTAACCTCTGAAAATAACAATGAGTACAGTTAAAATTACAAACAGTTTCGCAGTACACGCTGAAGAGTAGAAGAGAACACGGTGACGGAACGTATTATTATATGCTAAAATTCTACTCGATTATGAGTAGCAACAATTGTTCAGCTTGGTTTTACACAATCACCGAAAGCGTACCTAACCCTTAACACGTCCTCTACGACTGTAATTTATTGTAAAGCAATTCCGTCGTTTCGCTCACCTTTTTCCGACATAATACCAATAGCTTTTACTTCTGAGTCGAACTGTAAAATCTTGGAGCGTTTGAATTTTTCGGAAAACGTTAAGTATTTTACGTTTTGTTTTGTTGTTAAAACGTGATAAAAACGCTATTATCACATTCTTATCGGAATCGTTTGTAAACAAGCAAATCGCCAGCGAAGAGATAGTAGCTGAAGTTTGTACGCGTCATTGTCTGCAGTCCGTGAGCGTACCTAGGAAATTTTTATGGGGGGGTTCAACATTTTTATTTTATCTGATAATGGGAAATTAAAATACATTATATACTATTATTATACTATTTACTATTAAATCGTTGAGTATGTAGAAATTTCAATGGGGGAGGCCGAACCCAAAAACCTCCACCTTGGATACGCCCTTAGTATTCCGAATATTTTTTAAATACTCTTTTTTATAGTATTCAATACTGTATTTTGAATACTTTTTTAACGTCCAATCACATTTTAAAAAATAATTTCTTTCTTTTTCCGTCATAGAAATTGCTTTTATATAAATAAATGTATATTTCTGTACAAAATATTTTATTGTAATACAGTCGACTCTCCATAATTCGAAGTTGACGGGACTGTTGAAAAATTTCAAGTACTGAAAATTCGAAAAAACGAATGGAAAAAAAAATTCAAATAACTGAGAGAAAAATTTTGTTTTTTATTATTGTACATAATTATTAATTATTTCAGCAAATTAGGTAGTATTAGTTATTTATTATTTTTTAAATGTTAATTTTAACTACCTTTATAATATACTATGTAAATTAAATTATTATTATAAAAAATTATTATTTTTTGAAGAAATCTGTTATGGTTCATTGAATTTAGATTGTTTTTTTCAAAAGTATTTTTTAATTTGACCCACTCATCACAAGAACTATACAACTGACCAAACGAAACTAAAATAAAATTACATTCGGCTGACGGCTATCGAAGAGATAATTACGATTAGTGACGATGAAGAAATAAAACAATAAAGTTCTTACAATATTAATTCTATAATTATCGAAAATAATATCTACGCTAAATTTCTACACGATTGTACAGTAAATTATTAACAAAAAGATTATAAGAATAAAGATAAAATAAATTTGCTGAATATACATGGAATTGCCGAGTGTTGAACGGATTATACTTCGAAATGTCACGTGTTAATTGTAAGTTTTCCCAACGTTTAATTTCGAATTACTGAATGTTTGAATTATTGAGTGTCGACTGTATATAAATATATTATTTTGTTTTGTATTATAAATAATTTCGTAGCAACGAGCCAGGGAAGACGATAAGATATTGTTATGACTTAGGGATTTCCCGATAATAACTAATGAATAATAAATTAATGGATGCCTGTACGCCTATTATATTTATATATATTAGGCGGGCCGCACACCAGAGAAATTATAAACACGAAACTTGTAACATGAAACACAAAACTATAATTGCATGAAACCAGCCGATATATTTGCATAGGGAAAAACACACCGAGTTTCATGCAACTATTTTTATTTATAGTTTACGAAACTGATAACACGAAATTTGTTATTCTGGTTTCATTGTTTCAGTTTCATGAACGTTTTCACACAGTCATGCACGTTTTTAGTTTTTACTGAGTGAATAAATTATGCTCTATATAATTTGTATCATATAATTTGATTTATAAACTTATTTACTATTTACTATTCAATATTTTTATATTAATATTAATATTTATTATTAATGTATTAATACTTAGAATACTAGCGCTAGTTTAAAAAACAATATTTTTTTCGAATTTTTTCACGTATTGAATTAAAGTAAGTTGATAGAAACATATTTTTTAAACTAATCAATTTTTGGCCCAACTATATGTACTAAATCATCAAAATTACTTTTGCTCATGCGGTAAAATGTTTTAAATTTATCTGGATCGCTATGTAATTAATTTGCAACAACACTAATACTAGAACATGTATCAGATACATTTATCGGATGTACCCAATAACGACGTTTTTTTGAAATTTTTTTTTGACGTGCCTACCACCAAAGCAAAATCACGTCGTCCTCGTCAGACGATATTTTGAAAACTAATCATATTTCATTTATTCTATAGTTTCATTGTTTAAGTTTCTTCAATATACAGATCAACGTGAAACTAGTTTCTGAAACCGATTGCATATAAAATGTTTCGTGTTTATAATTTCTCTGGTGTGCCTTAATATTTTTTGCGATAGTATAGTCGTGTGTACGTATGCAACTTTCCGCACTGAACCGCCGTATTATTCGACATTACATCTTAATTTTTTTTTTTTTTAATTAATTTGATTTGAATGAAATGGACGACGGTCAATCTACGAACACTATTGGTAAAACCTATCGCTTACCTTGGTCAAAATATGACAATATTTTTAAAATCATTGGATTAAAAGAAGATTTTGAAAGTTATCAACAATTTAATGTTCGGTGTAAATATTGTGCTTCGTTTAAAGTATTAACAGCAGACACAAGGACTAGTTCCAATTTATTAAAGCACTTAGAAGTAAATTTACTAAAAAAAAGTATTCGAAAAATATTTAGAATAGTTTTTTGTGAAGTAACCTAAATACTTGGGAATATTATTATCCCAACAAAAACACTTCGTCGAACTCCGTGTAAAAAATTACTAAGTAAAAAAAAAACTAGTCATCTATAAGACTTCAGTATTATAAAGATGTGATATCATGAATAAATGCTAAGTAAATTAAATTTTCAATAAATTTATTCTATCTCAATCATTTATTTACTTTGCGAGAATTTATTTTCTTTATAAATTAATAATTAAGACTTTTTATAAAATAAATTTAGTAACATTTGTCATGGAAATTTGTTAAATAGTCCAGTTATAAACAGACATGTTTATTTGTCGAAATAAATAAATTCTCGCCAAGTAAATAAATGATTGAGATAGAATAAATTTACTGAAAATTTAATTTACTTAGAATTTATTCATGATATCACATCTTTATAATGCTGAAGTCTTATAGATGACTAGTTTTTTTTACTTAGCAATTTTTTACACGGAGTTCGACGAAGTGTTTTTGTTGGGATATCAGTAGTTTTTTTTAACATATTTTTATGTACTGACATGTAATAAAATTTTTTATGTTTTTATTAATTTATTTTATTATGATGTTTGTTTATTTAATATATATTTTATATATACTGTATATGTTTTTTTTTTTAAATCATATTCAATTTTTTTTTTCATTATTATAATAATATTATAATTGTATATATTATATACATTTTTACCCCCTCGAGACCATCGTTCAAAATGTATTGCATTGTCATTACATCGTAGCCATTTATTTTGATGTGAACTTATGCTTGTATAATGGGCTTCATTCATAGATCATGATGACAGATGACAGATTTTAAACCATACGATTTACCATCAACTTCAATTATTGTAATGGGTAATGCATTAATGGTTAGGTTTGATATTTTGGTACTGACATTATTCCAAAGTTGTATTTGAAAGTACAAATATTCATTAGTATTTACTATATTTGTTATCTACGTATGATATGTAATGGTATTACAGGCACTGCAATTAACGCCTTCTATTAAAACTTCTTTGGATAAATAATCTAACGTTGTATTAAAGTTACCGTTTCATTTTCATTAGGTACGTTAAGTTGAACAATATAGTTTTGAGTTATTTGTATTTTCTTATTATGGCACGCAGAACAAACTAATTCTATCTGTAATTTATGAGATAACGCATTTTTTAGTGGATCGTAAATGTTTATAAGAGCACTAATAAATTCAGCATACACATTGTATTTGTGGTTTTTTTTCTAAATAATTTCTCCTTTTTCTTAATTTCGGTTTATATGTTTTAGAAACTATTTTAGAAATAGCAAATAACAAATTATAATATAATTATAATTATGTTATAAATAGTACGGCCTACTACAATTACAACAAATAAAACGTGGTTTTTCTATTATATACTGGCGCGGCGGTCAGGGGCGTATTTACACTTACTTCTAGAGGGGGGCTACCGATTACTTATATAAAAAATTTCGGAGGGGGGGCGATTTCCCCCGTCGACCTCCTTCAAATACGCCACTGGGTTCAACACGACAATCTACATTGATATCGGAACGTTTAGAATATCGACGAACCCTTGGCCCATCAGTCGTGTTATTACGATACACGCGCCGTACGTTCCGTCGATCGATATGAATATAACCATTGATTATAGAATAAATGTATTCCATAATCGATGTTATAACGATATGTAGTCGTGGTGAATTATCAACAATCGTATTGCAGTGAACGGTGACCAGTGCCGTTTTAAGGCATGGGCTCGTAGGGCCCGGGCCCCCGAAATTTTAAGGGCCTCAAATTCACATACATTACATTATTTACAATATATCATAATTTTACATTTTGTTTTTCTTAAAATGTTTTTAATATTTATCTCGTAGACTCGAACGAAAAAATATTAAAATTAGCTTTGTATCAAAATACTAAATAACACAATTTGATTTATTTCTAGTACACACGTATATAATTTTGACATGCACTGTGTTATCGTTATTTCGATTTGTTTTACCTAGAAGTATTGTGTGAAGTATTAAGCTGTCGCTAGAGAAAAATTTCCAGATTCTGACTATAAAGGTTTACATCAACGAACTAAGAAGGGGAGTATATATTTAACGTTCCCCGGTGAACAGACTAACGAAAGTATTCAGTTTTCAAGTAGTGAAAAATTCAAAATAGAAACTTAATTTCCAATAATAGACACATTAATAACTAACTAGGTTAAAAATTAGTGGTAAATCATACTAATCAATAAATAATCTGTTTGGATTTTTCTCTAATTTAAAAAAATTAAATACAAAAGAAATACAAGTCCATTGTAAAACATTTGCGGAATTTTATCATATAGATATTAATAAAAATGAATTGATATTAGAATGAATGTATACACTTAAAAGCGTATCTATCGGAACTTGATATTTCTGAATTTAGTATTTCTACTACATACAAATGTTTAAAATCAAATAGACCAGAAGAAACATTTCCAAACATAATAATTTCTTTCCGAATTTTTTTATCAATGATGATTACCAACTGTAGTGGGGAACGTTCATTTTCTAAGTTAAATTTAATTAAAGAGCTTTGAATGACCATGAGCCAGAAACGGTTAAACTCCTTATCTTTAATGAGTATTGAACATGAACTACTATCAAGTTAAGATTATGAAAATATTATAGAAGACTGCGAATGAAAAAGCTAGGAAGAGTATTTAATTACTGACAAATTTATATCAATACTTATATTTTTTTTTTTTTATGACGATTATTTTAGTTTTTGTTTAATGAATTACATTTATTTTTTAACTATATAACATAATAATGTATAAATTATATAATTAATATGTATACATTATTAGCAGAGGACAAACACAATTTTCAGTTTTAAAATTTAAAGAAATATCTTGTCATCCAATGCAATAGTTAAGATGATAAAACATTTAGTTACATATTAGTACCTAATCATACGCTAAAATTATTTACAAAATACATTTTTATTATTTTAAGATGTTGGTGAAGGATATGAAGAAGACAAATACGTTTAATTTATTAAGTTTTTATTAGTTAGTTAAAACATTATTTTTTATTTGCATAATATAATTAAAATATCATATATTATACATTACATTTTTTAGAGTATATTTTTAAATGCATTTAAGTGCATACATATTTTGAGATTCTTAAGTACTATAAGTTCTCAGCTCTGGTTATTAGAATATCATCTGACCAATTTAATTTTGTAAGAATGGTAAATAATATTTATTACACTACGGTATTTTTTCTACTATGTAGATATAATTTTATTTTTTTCAACAGCTGCTATTAATATTATTTTGCCATCTAAGGCAATTTAAGGTTTATGACAGACGATTGCTTATATGTCTGTACAGTGGCAGATCCATAGGGGGGGGGGGAGAGAGAGGCTGGTACCGAATTGGTTACCGAGCTCCAATCCCATGTGCCAAATTGGTTCCCATCTGAAAAAGGTATTTTATTAGGTATAGCTGAATTGGTACTCGTTTAATTACGCACATTTTCCTTCTCAATTTTACAGGCTGTAAACTTTAAAGTAAGCTTGGTTAACAATGTGCTTTTATGAGTGTTAAAAAAAAAATGATAAAACATTTAAAATTTTAAATTGTTGATTTAAAAGCCAATTAGTTATCACTTAGGTGTACAAAATACAAATTATAAAATGTAATAAATACAATTCAAAATCACTGATTTGCAAATTTGAATCTAACTTTCTTTAAATATTAAATTCTTGTAATCTTCTCATTAATGTACTCAGTCATATAATTTTCCAAGTATTTGTTATTTCTATTCTGTTTGCTAATAATTTGCTAGTCTCTAGTAATCTATAGTATATAATATTATATTTATATACTCTATCTTATTTTTTAAAAAAAAGTATTGTAAGGGAAAACATTTTTCAACCCCCCCTCCCAAGGAAAATCCTGGATCCGCCACTGTGTCTGTAAAATATATAACTGGATTCAATATTTACTAGGGGTGAGCCAATCCTAGAACCGATACTTGGTATCGGCCGATATTGGTAGTATCGGAAATATCGGTATCGGTTTATTTTCAAAAACCTAAACTTGATATTTGAACAGATACCGTAAAAACTATTTGTGATTATAATATCGGGTATCGGTTTGTGGTATCAGATTAATTTTAGTATTGGTTTATGGTTTTGCTGAAAAAGTTGATTTTTTATGTAATATATTAAAAATCAACTTAGTTTTTACTTGTAATTATAATATCGAGTATCTGTTTTATATTGGTAAAAAGTGGTATCGGCTCATCCCTAATATTTACTGTCATCAAATAATTTAAATTACATTATCGAATTTGACAAATTGATAAATTAAAATATTAATATAGTTTTGTTTAAAAATATTTATTGTTGTATAAGAACTAAAGATTAATTAATTTTAATAAGCTAGTAAAAATTGGTAAATTTAATCTAATAACCTCAAAATGTTTTTTAAATACTAAATGCCATTTACAAGTATGTATACAAAAGGTTTTGTAGCCTTTTGGCTACTTAAATTCATTTTGATATTGTGAACAATATACAAAAATAAGTACAATGTTTGATAAGTACATCAATTATATACTATGAGCATATAAATTAATAATAATAGTAACTCAGATACAGTCAAAACTTTAATTTTTCTTTGAATTCTCTTCAGTGACACCTAAAAAAAATTAAACAATTTTATTAGTATTGTAAAATACTACCTTCAGTAAAATAATTACTTTTTCCATCACATGCAACAATTTTAAGCTTCTCAACTTTGGCCATTTCCTGTGTTTCTTTAAATTCAACATCACTTAACATAAAGGTCCAGACATTATCACAAAATCTATAAGTATCCATTTTCCCTGCCTAAAAAATAATGAATACAATTTAAGAAATGTATAAATACCATTTTTATGCTAAATTTTCATGGTTTTATTAAAACATTTTTGCTAGAACTTAGGCAAAATTACTTAATAAAAAAAAAAAAATACTAATGTAATAAAATCTAATTTAAAATCTTAAAAATGCTTAACTCAAACCAGAAAATGATCTATGAATACATTTATATTTAAAATCCTTAAGTACAACTAACATTTTATTTGCGGATTTCAGTCATAATAGTTACTAGTATCAAGATTCAGGTGCGTAGCTAGGTATTTCAAAAGGGGAGTGTTATTCAAAATTATACACTACAAAATAATAACTTTCCGTATGTGTTATTCTACAAGCATACAAACACAATAGTATTTAAATATTTTATTAAAATTTCTAATGTACATATTTGTCTTATGTACCCATTTTAAATTGCACATGATGACACCAAACCACGGCTTTGGTATATACAATACGGTGGAATAAAAAGCCGGATCCTTGCTTTACATTATTGTTATGTATGTATTTCATTATGATAAATATGTTTTCATCACAGTTTATGATAAATTTTTACCTTTATAAGTATAACACGCATAAAGGAGGAGGAATGTTACTACACCTGTAACAGCTCCCTGGCTACGTGCCTATCAATATTAGTATTCTAGTTAGTCATAATTTCTTTGATAACCCTTATTTAATGTATGAATTAAAAACAGTCAATTGTTAATCTTATTCAACAAAACCTTTAAGTTTGCCAAAATAACATGCAAATGACTGAGTACATAAGTATTTTTTAACAAGAAAAATAAATAGAAAATAATGCTTGCTTTTTATTGATATTAATAGTGAACTGTGATAATAATATTGCTTTCAAAGAATAATTTTTTATTTCTATGTAATTCAAACCAGTAAAGATGATGCATAATAATTGCTAATAGACTTAGGTAAAGAAAATATACTTAAAAAAAACAATTTAAATGTTTAATTTTTGATAAAATATAAATCATTAATTACTTTTCATTCAAATCTATCAATAACTTTAACTGTAGTAATATTATGCACGAATAACGCATACTAAACTGTATTAAACTGATATTTTATCAACGCATAGACACTCACGTAAAACACCATGAACCCTGAATGCTGCCCAAATAGACACCATATCTAATATTTTAATACCCATACAAGACATGGACTAGACAATAATATAGTTTATACCTTAAACGTGATTTTGGACTTTACACGATTGGCCAAAGAGTTGTTCACAGCCTTGTCAAACTGCAGTAGGATTTTCATGCCCAGGGCCGGTGTTATCTGACCATACTGCAATGGGACGAAAAAAAAATTAAATCGGTCAGTATCAACTGGTACCGAAGGACGTTGGTCATCGTGGCTAGAGTTAGGGACAGGTGACGCATGATGATATCGGTGTTCCGGGTACGTTACCTGAATCATTTCGTCGATGCTCTCCTGGAGGGTGTTACCCAGGGTGGTGTTGCGGTACAGCTGATAAGACATGGTGCGAGCGGTAACGATGCGACCGTCGTCGATATGTGGAGTAAGAGTGACTGCGTTCGTACGTACGCGTGCGTGTCCGTTCGCTTGGAACCGCCGGCCGGAGGGTTCAGCGACACGGTGACATAGTGGTTACCGAGTGCGGGAAAACAAACGGTATAGTAAAGGGTGATGGGGTGCCGGCCAGTCAACGATCGATAGCCAACGGAGAGCGGACGGATGACATGACAGAAATCGCACGACGGGCTTAATGAGATGGTCGCGTTGGAATAACAGACGAATTGACGAATTGCATCGGCGAGCTAATGAGATAAAAGATAATAAAAAAAAAAATTAAAAACCGAACTAGCGCTACAGGAGAGAAAGTGGAGAAATTGAACGAAAACAAATCGTTTTGATAGAGCGGCGGCAGCGGTCGGCGGGTTGCCGTCCTCGGCGTGGCGGCACGTGAAGACTGATAATCACTGAGACCGCGACGTCACACGTACGATCGGCAACCGCCGCCGTGTGGTCTGCGCGTCGACGTCGATGGACCGCGACCCGTATCGTTCGCCCGCCGTCGCCGAGATAGCGCTGAACGTACACGTCATGGCAACCCGCTATCTTGATCACGGCGCTGTACTATCGCGGAACAATACGCGACGACGAGATGATCCACAAGGTTTGTAGATTATAATATTATAATCTATAAACCTTGGATGATATGTAGTCGCTGCCGCATGGGCGTATTTTAGGGGGTGAGCGAAGGGGTGATCGCCCTCCTCCCCCTGAATCCGTATTTAAGGAATTGATTATATGTGAGATACACATTTCAAATATTTTTAATTTAGATCATTTTATAACGAAATCAAATTGCGCGTGGCTGTGAATACTGAATTGGGCTTTTTGTTGGATTCATACTTAGTGAAAAATCAAATAAAACACAAACATAACTTTCAAAACACAGACAGATAATAAAAAAGAACTACACAAAAGTCGATTCGAAGTGGATCTGGCATTAGATTCAAATTAAAATTACAAATATTAAGGATTCACTTGATTTTAATATTATCAAAAATTTTACTTGTAAATTTTGTACCTGAATTAAAGAAAAAAATTGAGTCGCTCCCCCTCTCCCTAGAAGTAAGTCTAAATACGCCTCTGCGCTGCCGGTGATCTTTTTTTTTTTCGTTTGCGTTGACAAGTCTCCGTTTTTCCGTACACCATCAATATGATTTCCCGGGATACACAATCGTACTGTTACGAGTTGACGGGACATCGCGCGACAATCCGTTTCGTACCATACGCATCGATCAGTAGTAGCAATATTGTTGCGCAACGTCTATTGGGTTCGTTGCAATCGATTTCAGAACGTGATGACGAGAGGAATTTGCACTATACGTTCTCGAACATTACTTCGACTTTTTTTTTATCAGAATCCATTCGAGTGCTGTTCAAACACATTAATTAATGCGTCGTAACAATATAATGCTCTGTATCGCGTTTCAATATTTGTTCAAAAACCGCCGTTCGTCGATAATTCCATTTCTGTACTATAATCCCGTGTCTAGATTACCAACGACACGACGCTTAATATTAAATTATACCCTTATAATCTCCGACTGTTTTTTAAATATTAATACCCTTGGCGTAATTCTTATTGTCGACATTTGTACCGTGAGCCCTGCTCCAGGATCGTTCAAGTCAAGGATTCTAATGTGTATTCGAGTATTTCAACATTTTGTAACGCATAAAATCCTAGCCCTGGACCAATTATTTCCGTGACTTAATTACTAGAAACGTTTAAACCTACGAACTCGATAATATTGTAACACCGAGTAATGAAACCGATAAAATTCAGCAATAAAACACCAACGAGTAGCCCGTGCTAACTGCAGTATATAAGATTTTCACCAGGATATCGAAACGGATATTAAAGTTTCTTCGTACTGAGCCACGAAACACTGCTCGGGTGTGGAATAGGTATACATCGCAATGGAAAAAAAATACAAAAAATATACTATAAATATTGAAAAAACCCGCTTTTTCGTAAACTACTAAATTCTTATACATTATAGCGAATATGCGAACGGAAATTCTACATTATACCTACTTACTACTATACTATTGTACTCTTTTATTAGCTTTTGTTATATAATTTTAATAATAACGTGATTTAATGAACAATATACCATTTAAAAATTAGTTACTAGATTATTGACTCATTAATTTCTTATCGATACCAAATGACTGAATATAAACAGTGTACAAACACGTAACTAGAAATAAAATAGTTTTAATGGATAACGCGTTCAAACGATATTGTAGTGTAAAACCTCAGTACTTATCTTTTTACACTTATTACATTAACACGTATTTATGAATATTATGAATATTACGAATAAACAACACAAACAAGAGTAACGCATAAGTGCGCGAATACTAAGGACACATTACAAACCCTTCAAGAGTAAAATTGTTAGTTCTGTGTACTCTTACATTACATTAGGTGATAGGTTATACATTGAATGATAGTGAAAATAATCAAAATAACATATTTTCTCGTCTTATATTTTATAAACTTTCAAATTATCAAAAAACTAATGAATGCAGACCATTTAGGTTGGCTAATTTTGAGCTCCGTAGAGCTCAGCTTAACATTATAAATGCGTATAAGTATCTACAAATAATCGTGATAAATTGTTTAATTAACATTTAATTTGAGAATAGAAATAAATTATGAATATAAAACTACAAAGAAATATAAACGCCATTTACTCCTTAGTTTCTTAACGTGTTAATAAAATTTATAAGTTTATATTATTTCAATAATAATGTGTTCAAAATTGAAAAACTATTTAAACAACGCTCACAACGACGGAAAATATAGTTTTGAAATGTAAAATAGTGACGGATGGTGATGCATGTGTAATTATTATATTTGGAGAATTATGCATTTGTAATTGAACGCAATAATTATTTTATTAAAAAAAAACCGATAAAACAAAATTCTTCTACATTTTATTACTATGTAATCATCAATATATATAAATATATATTTAAAAATGCGCTGATTATTGTTTTTTTATACTTGTTCACCAAATTGTACTATTACGGTTTTCTCGAAAATAACAATAACAATAGAAAATAGTCTGTTTCGTGCGAAATTTACTGAACTTAATCTTATGCCGGACTAAAAAATGATTTTGGAAACTAAAAGTGTACATACAAGCAGTAAAAGCACATAAATAAACCAAAATGAGTTCAGGAATAAACGGCACTTAAGTATACTCGTAAAGTAATGATTATTCAGGCGCCACTGTCATAGATAATTATTCCTTGGTCGTATTTTAATGCGTTCTATATTTTGAACACGATGTATAAGATACTACTGTAAGTTAAATAATAATCAAGTTCGACCTGTCATATCTGGTTACCTGCAATCCTTTAGGCTTTGACAACACTCGAACAATTGTGCTCACGTCGACAACGTATAATAAATGCATTAATGGCTATTTTATCTATACACTACACATAACACGAGTGATAATTTCATTTCAAGAGCAAGAAATAAAAAAGATTGACAAATATTTTTAGTTTAATCAAATTCAAATGTATTATAAATATATACAGTCGAATTTTACGATAGCTTGAATTTATCAAATTACATTTTAGGTCCACTCCCTTCAAATGTATTTTCTATTGTTAATTTATTTCGAATTTTCGATAACGCCAATATTTCTTCACTTACTAGTAATTCGTGTTCTGTATACTGTACAACTGTATACTAACATACTGGATTATATATTATAATAATATGAGTATTTTATAAACTTATCATCTTCACCGTACTAGGTAATTAAACTCTTTCATAAACTCTTCTAACATAGGTACTAATTATACTCTTTTATAAAATTAAGTTTGCTGTATTTTCATTTGTTTTCCTACTGAAAAATAATGTCTTTCGAATTTAATTAAACATGTTAAACATATTTTTTACTCGTCGAAAATTATCTTTTATTTTTTTACATCAAGCAACGTTGTCATGGGTGCGAAATTATTTCAATATTTTATAAAATATGCAAATTTTATATATATTTTATTTTATTTTATATTTCATATATATGCACAAATAATAATCGAGATTAAATGTTTCTATATCTTCAACATTAGGTATTCATACTACGTCGATAACATTATGAAAACAAGTATTGATGGTATGAATATCTATATTGATTATAAATATAATAATGTAAATAGTAAGATATAACCAATGATATCTAGATATCTAAAATTTACTTATGTTAAATAAGAAAAATTAACCAAATAGCATTTTCTTTTAATGAATCAAAAAATGAAAATCATTTTTATTTAGTTTAAATCACAATATCAAGTCAAGTGGAACATATAATGAAAAATATCTTTTGATATATGTACGTCAAACATAGAAAGTAAAATTCCAAAGTTAAGTATTTTAAAACATTTTTTTTTTCAATCCTTAGATTGGTTAAATGTCCTCGATTTTTAAAACATAATAATTAAAAAAAGTTATTTAGTTAATAAAACGATACACAAATTACAGTAAATACGAGTATTCATCATTTCTTTTAGGATCCAAAATGTGTTCAATTTTAAAGAATAGAATAATTATAACATTAGTGTCCTTTTATGCAGTTATGTAGAACTGAAAAATAAATAGTAATTACAAGTACAGAATGATCAGTAAAATATTAAGAAGTATATTCAGATTATTTATATTAATTAATTAATAAATTAAATTCTAAAAAAATCAACAATATAATATTGTATAACAATTTAACATCAATTTCATAAGATTCAATTTTTTTTTTATGTTTGTAAAGATAAACATTATTTAACTTAATCATTTCGGCCTACTTAAAAATGTATATTCGTTTTTATAGCCATATTTATCATAGTTAATTTATTAATTAAAGACTTTATCTGTGACTATATTATCGCTTGTTTATTAACGCATACCACCATACTTCATTAAGTTTATAATTAATTTGTAATTAATGGTTATTTATCTATATTTTTGATTCGTTGAACATTTTATTTTTATATATTGATAAATTGTACTGATATTTTACTGTAGCTAGTATTGCCTATTGTCTATTCCTAAGTATTTATTATATTTTTAAATGTATTGCTAACATAAACTAGGGTTTAAAAAAAAAATTAATATATATATACTGCCTTCTAAAATTATAACGTTTGATTGAAATAACATTATACTTTAGTAATATTTTTATACTGTTAAAACTCACCGCGAGTATTTTAGATTCAAAATGGGACCCAAGCAGAATCTAAATACAATGCACACTGTATAATTATTTATTTATTGTTTTTTTTTTTTTAATTTTTTTTTTTTTGGCAATTAGTAACGTTACTTTTATAAAACATATCGTGTAGATTTAAATAATGTATTTTTGCATTATTTATTTTCTGTTACACTATTGTGTATACATACGATTTGTACTTTGAATAGATAATTTTGGATGCTTCTAAAATAGAATTTAGCAAATGTACTAAGATCCTTGAAAATGTAGGTATTATATGTTGTAACTCAAAATAACTTTATATTAATGAAATAGCTTAAACATGCATTTTTCGTTGTAAATATAAAATTT